TAACATTGACAAGCTTCTAGCAATTCCTGCAGCCAAGCCAGCCCCAAATATATTTTCATATCTATTTCCTTATAAATTGGTAAATGATAAATGTTGCATTGCATTAGTTTTAATTATATTAGTTTTTAGAATGTTGTAAATATAAAATTATTCTTGTAAATAGACAATCCAATAAATAAATAGTGTTTAATATTTTTGTTGTCAATTCTCAAGGACAAAAAAATGTATAAATTTCACTTTCATCATAGATTTAGGTTTCATTACAATTATAATCATCATTTTTTAAAACAATAAACATTGCTTAAGAGTGAATGTAGTTAAAATAATTGTGGTGTTAATGAAAAAACATCCCTTTGACATTCTGTTTTTTTGTGGGCAAAAGTTTCCCTTGTTTTCTTTGAAAATGTTTTGGCAAGGTAAGTGATAGTCAGTTTTGCAGAATATGAAGGTGAATTGCTTTGAAAGAATTTTAGCTTAAAGATTCTTGGTTGTGACTTGTGACACTAAAAAAATATCTTGTCCAAGAGCTTATAATAATTCTATGCGTTCATCTTGATGCCATCACCAACCTATAAACCTATAGCCAAAATGTCAGTTCGGTCTACTATAGTTCTAAATGCATCATTAAAAATTAATCTTGAGAATAATTTTCATGTACTTCTTCAACCAACTTTGAAGTTCCTCTTTATGAAGAGGTGGTAGTTTGTTTGATTTCACACCTTCAGCCAATGTTCTATTAATATTCTGTTACTTTTCCCTCTGTTTGCATTTACAATACCAGTTTCTCTAAATATGTTTTTGTTGGTCTATCCATTTTTCTTGCTGAACACTCTTAATTTTTCTCAAATCACTTTTTACAACATTCCTAAGGCGAGTTTATTTTCTTGTTCTTATATTTCCAATGTTTCAATTTTCTATGATCTTTGTTCAACATTTTAACATTACACACACACACACACACATATATATATATTTATATAAAAGGAATCCTTAAAGGTCCCCCATCTCCTGTAGACTCAATTGCCTACTGCCAGTGGACAAGAGAGGCTACCGAGCAATTTCCCTTACCAAAGCAAACTACAACCAGAAAACAAGTAGCAATGCATAAAACTGAGGTTTTCTCTGGTTGCCAGACCTCTAGCAGCTGTGTAAAACCCGCCTCATTGGTATGGGCCTTGTAACACACAGGGAAAAACCATCTACAATCTTTGTTGCCAAAGCTATTTCATTACAATATGTATCCTTAAATAATGCTCACTATACAAAGGAATAAATTTATAACCTTAGAAATATTGCTGCATTTACTGCTATATAAAAGTTCACTTGAAAAATATATTTGCTATATTCTTTGTTTTTATAAAAATTTAAACAATGTTGGTGTTGTGATGTCTGGCAAGACGCAACACTTGACAGACAATATTCAATAATCAAACAAGTCACTGCAATAGTATTATCTTCTATTCCTTGTAGACAATTACTCAGGACTACTTATGAATGAATCAGTCCATTCATGATAGTAAGGAGGGTAACTGGTTCTTACCACAACATCTCTCCATTTGAGATTTACTTCCTTTAGAAGTTATATGTTGTATCACAAAGGTTTTACAAAAACTTTAAAACTCTTTAGCAGCAAATTGCATGGTATTGTTTGAAATAATGCTATCCAGGATACTGTATCTAGCAAATAATTCATGCAAGAAGTATATTGTAATTGTAGAAGTTGGACTCTTGCATTTTAAAATTTCTGGTGATTTAGAAAAACTGTTGACAATTAGGTAGTAGCCACCATTTATCAGTCCTGCAAAATCAATGTGTAATCTTGACTATATTGCATCTGTCTTTGGCCAAGGGTGGAATTTAACTAGTGGTGATTTTACTGCCTTGGCACAACCTCTGCACACTTTTACCAATCTCTCTATGTTCTTGTCCATATTGGGCTAGGAGAGATAACTGCGCATTGCATGAAGGACTTTATTCTAGAGATACCTGCTTGTAAAGATGACACATTTATTGGGGAGGGCGTATTTTTAATTGTACTTGCTCTGGGTAGGTCAGGTCTGGTTTTCTACTCTTTTTGTCAATGATTTGGCTCAAATATTTAATTTCTGTCATGGAAAATTTGCATCACTCAGTTTAAACCCATATTTGTTTATTTTTCTGAGTACCTCGTTTATATACTGAATATGCTGCTCTTGATTGTCACTTTTTGTTAAAATCTCATCTAAGTAGGCGATTGTGAAGTTTAGATTGCTCAACATTGTGTCCATTACTTGCTGAAAAATTCCAGTTGCTATCTTAATTCCAAAAGGTAATCTGTTAAACTTGTATAATCTCTTGTGCGTATTGATTGTTAACAGTTATGAACATTCTTCGTCAACTTGGATTTGCAAATATGCGTCTGACAAGTCAAACTTTGAAAAGTATTTTCCACCATTTAACTTTGCAAAATTTTTTTCTGAACTTCGTTGGGGGTAATTGTAAGCTTGTAGGCAATCATTCAACTCCATGGAGAAATCTGCACATACACGGATTTTGTTATTTTTCTTTTTCACATAGACAGTTTGGGGAGCCCTATTGCTATAATTCACTTTAGGGATCATTCCCATATATTCCCTGTGATCTAATTCCCTGTTTAAAGTATCAAAATGCTAAAAAAGGTACATTCCTCTATGGTTTAAAAATTGGTATCACATTTTACTTTAACTGGAACTTGGTACTAGTTTTTGTGCATCTTCCTAACCCTTCAGAAAAAACTTCTGGAAATTGATTTTTCAGTTATTTTTTTTCACCTTTCAGAAAAGCCATAAACTTTATTACAAAAATAGTTTATTGGAAAATCCCATAAATTGAACAGTTGCATCCAATCTGTTACAAACAAGTTATAAGTTTTTTACATCATAAATAATTTAACCTTCACCATTTTTCCACAAAACAATATATCTGATGTGAACTCACCTTTAAATTTCAATTTCTGCCCAGTAATGCCACAAGCAATTTTTTTGCTAATGTTAATATTGGTTTACCAATTCTTTTCTATGTTTCTTTGTTTATAATAGTCAAATCTGATGCTGTGTCTAGCTGACACTTTATATTTCTTCTATTTTTACAGTTATAAATTTTCTTTTTTAACCCTTGTCTGCATTGTCTGTTGTCAACACTACATTTACAGTACTCCTGAATTTTGACTTTTTATTCTTTTTTAACTTTACAATATGAACTCTTGTGTTCCACATTTACACAATTAAATCATTTTTTTTTTGTTCTTAAACAGACAGTTCCTTTTGAAATGTAATTCACCACTTCTGTAACATGAATTTGTTTTTTTTAAAGAATTTTTCCCATATGCTTTAGGATGAACCAAAATTATGTGAGATACATCTCTCACCTCAATTCTAGCAGTATCATGTTGTAAGTTCACTGTTCTTTGATATTCTTCAGTGAAAGATTGAAAGGTCAATTTTGAGTTCTGTCCAAGCTTAGTTAAAATTTTAGAATGGATTTCCACATCCCTATTTGCTGTCAACCCTTGTACGAAGACCAAGCGCTTAAACATGTTGGGTGTTAGTTTGCTTAACTTGAATATCTGTCTATATTTCTGAGATGAGGTATTATGTACACTATTTACATTATTTGGACTATTGTCCTCATCTTTGTCGCCATATTTATTATGTTTCGGCCGTTGTATGCTTCAGCCTTCTTCAAGTGGTTGGAATGTCGAATTGAACTGTTTATTTCACTCAATGGGGTAGACTGTTCTTGTTCCATGTGCCATGTTTAATGGATGTCAGTTATCAGTTATCTCCTGTTAATTCCCCTCTCTGAGTTTTCCACTGCCTTAACCGGGTATTGAACTCACACTCTTTCGGGAAGAACTTTTCACATTCCCTGTTCACAATATTAGCATAAGTGGAATAATCTTCATACTCTTTTTTTACAAAATTTTGGCATTGCCAACATGAATTGAACAATGAACTTTGTTCATGGAAAATTTTACTTAGTTTCTTCAATTCAATTCACTTGATTTTTTGGCAGGATATAACCCATGTATTTTTTGTGTTCCATGGACACTAACTTTCTTTGTAACATGTGCGCTCTTTTCTCATCTGACCAGCTTATACAGTCTTTTTTAAAGATTTGCTCATAGCATCTGTAGTATGCTGCAAATGTAACCTCTACATCAGGGTTATATTAAAATTCACCAATTGCATTTCCTACTGAGTCCTTCAAGAAAAAAAGTAGATATGTTTTTGTTATTATTACTCTTCATAAAAAGTTCTAGTATTTTTTGCTGTTGTTCTTGTTGTCTCAAACATGATTCCTGGAATTCTTATTGCTGTTGTTGTTGTTGTTCTTCTTCTTCTTGTGGCTGTTTTATTAATTCCAACATTACTGATTTCAGATCCTCCATTTTTACTTGTTTGACTTGAAAATTTGCTTCCAATGTATATTTCAGATATTTTAATGTTGCATTGTTTCCAGTGTAAGTTTTTTGTTTCTTTCGATGTAGCGATTTCATAAGTTGAAAAAAAAAATCTTTGTCCACCACTATTATGATAAATAGTATCACATCCTCATCACAAACTGTTGTGATATGGGGTCTAGCACAACACAACACTTAACAGAGTCAGTCCTAATATTAGTATTCAATAATCAGCTAGACAAAGCACCGCAATAGTGATTTTCCAAGCATAGCTTGGATGTGGCACAACGCTGAAAGTAAGGGGCACCCAGTAAGGATTGAACTCACTACTCAGTCGTAATTGTTCTAGTGAGAACAAGCTTGGTAACCATTACGCCATGTAAGAATGCCCAAGGTACTGCAATAGTATTATCTTCTTCTCTTTCTAGACAATTACCCAGGACTACTTATCATGAATGCATCAGTCCATTCATGATAGTAAGGAGGGTAACTGGTTCTTATCACAACAATTGAATAGTCCTATGAGTTATGAATATAATTTTATTCTTGTAAATAAATGTAAATTTTGTTCTCTTTGCAGACCAGCCAGTCAGTTTCCATCTAAATATTCCCAGTTACCAGACATTAATGGTCCATCACTATCATCTGTATCTAATCAGCTGATTCCGTATGTTGGAACCCCTGCAATCGCATCGTTGCAACAAGCCAATGCAGACATGGATAACCAAAATGAACGTTTACGCAACATGGAAATGCGGATCAACATCTCTGAAAAATCATGTCGAGCGCTGCTCGAGGAAATGGTGCGGCTGCAGAGTGATCTAAAGGCAGCCGTACGCCGGAATGAAGAGATGATACATGACCAGACACTCTCTCGGCAACAGATGGAATCTTTGATACGTAAAAATGTGGACACTCTGATGCACCTGAACTCTCGTGTTCAAAGGACTGAACAAAAAGTGCAGCAAGATGAACTGGCGCTAACGTCTTTGAAGAACCACACCAAAAACTTAGAGCAACTGACTCGGGGTAGTCATCAGGATTTGTACAGCAACAAAGACATGCATATTGCAAGGTAAAAAGAATTTAAATTTTGCAAGATTTTTTCTTTTTTCCTTACTTAGAAAATGTGTCACCAATGTATCAGAAGAGAAATATCAAGACAACACTCCTTCTGATCCTTGCAATCAACATATTATTATATCTCTCCCCCACAATTTATCAGGAAGATGTCCTCAGTGATATAACTGATTATCCTATTCTTATTTAATGTATCAGACCCAATAAAACTCCTAGAATGGGCATTGGATATGATAATATACAGGATGAGAATAACATACGTCCCTGACTAAAATAGAAGTTTCTGTTTAAACTGCCAGCGGATATGACATGAACTTGCGGAAGGCCAGAGAATAATATAAAACAAAAATGGTAAAGATGATAATTCAGTTTATCACTGGATGCTTTTAGAATAAATAAAAATAAAGAGGAAAAAATTTGTTCAAAATACCATTTTCTCAACTTACTTTTAGGCAGATATCCGTCTATGATAGAGGGACAAAAGAAAAACAAATGGGGGAGCATGTCATGCAGCAATTAAAAATGAGAAATCTCAACTACTTCTTTGGCTGATGTTGAAACACTGGTTCCCATACAATCAACAAAGTTAAGCAATGTTGAGCCTGATCAGTACCTAGATGGGTGACTGCTTGGGAATACCAGGTGCTGTAAGCTTCAATATGTGGGTGGTGTAATGGATAATGGTTTAGAATTGTTAATCAGAGAGCCAAGTTTCTGTTCCTATTGGATTCATTATATTTACTTACTCGCAAACACCCTTGGAAAAGGTACAAATCCACCTCTACTCCCCCCATTTATAGATTAATTAGTAATATTTGTATTGCTAAACCCTTATTATCTCTAAAAAAATTCTTACAATCTAAAAATATTTTCTGGCTTTAAATAACTTGTAGAGGGTTGATAAAAATAAAAAAGGAATGAATCAATCAATCAATCAACTATTTCTTTTTATCAAGGAATATTGGTCCAAACTCTCAAAACAGAGTTTAGGATTGTTAACACATACACTGCATCAGTAATCAAACTTATTATAAAACCCAGGTTGTGTGTGTGTGTGTGTGTCTGTTCGTTTATATATTGGATTTGATTCCCTACATTTTTCAACTGATTTCAACAAAACTTCACAGGACTACATATAATTACCTTGCGGTGGTTCTGACAGTGCCAACAATTGGAAAAACACAATTGTTTTTGCACAAAATCAATTTGAAAACATGATTAAGAGACATCACTGTCGTGAGAATCTCTTACTGTTACATCCCCGGGCAACGCCGGGCTCTACTGCTAGTCATGACTAAAACAGTATAACCTAATACTAGTTCTTGCTTGGTCATTGTGGTTAAGTAATAATTTACTTTAGCATTTCATGAGTGATCATTTGAAAATTCTTGCTTTTATGAGTATGGATGCTCATAGCTGCAGGAACTTCATTCTATAATGAGAAAATGGAAAGATTTTTATCCTAAAATCAATTGGTTCTTTGATTTGCAAATTCTCTGCTTGTGTCCCATACATTTATTAATAAAGTGTAACAAAGATTAATTATTTTTAAAAACTAACAAGCATTAAAATAAAATAAACAAAAAATAATTGCTTATAAATGCTGGTAGAAATGTCTAAATTGGGATTGTTTGCTAAGATGTTAGTTTGAAGCTTTCGTCTTTGTATGCTTTATACCACACACGAAGTGAAGCATGGTGAGAAATATTGATTCTAGTATTTCAAGGTAATCAACGTTCAACTAATCCTTTAATTGATTGAACTTTGCCAATGTTGATGATGGATGTAACGACTTTGATGTGTGTAAGTTTATTATGGGAAATGGGTCTGTCCAAGTGCTTATGCCCTCCTCTAGTCTCTTTCAACCATCATGGCACCCCTACCATGGAATATTTTGTCAAGTATCTTGAGAAACAGGAGAGAATTCAGGGAGAAGTAGATTCATGACTTTTTATCAAGGGTATTTGAGTTAAAATTTTTCAAGTGGAATTTAAACTTGGTTCACTGGTTTTCCTAGCTGGGAACCAATATCAAACCCCACACCTCCAATCCTCCAGGTATATACAAGATTTATCTGGAAATTATCCAACCATTTTTAATATCTAGAGAACTAATTGTGCAGTCTTCTGACTTGTCAATTGGGAGTGTACTTTGCATGTGTGAGCAGAGACTCTCCTATGTGGTTAGTCAGTCTAGTAATATGTTATTGAGTGAGTATCTTTGCAGTAGTTGCATTCACAGCAAATATACATCAAGTTTTGCTTGAAACTTTGATATTCATAGATTTTAGAGATGATTCAGTGAAAAAACAAAAGTTTGGTACCAATGCTGTAAACTTGGCTGGAAACCCATAGAAAAGAATTTATATTCTGTAAGGACTTTAACAAAATGAACATGAAAATGGTGGACACATACAGGCTATAATCAAAGGAAATTGGTAATTGACAGTGCAATAAACATCTTTTTTTGTTAGTATTATTTACTCAATACAAGGCCCAAAAGCCATTCAAGGTAGAGGGTTACTAAATGGGGATGTAATAAAGGCATATACAGAGGGAACATGTGTTGCATATCATGAGGATATATAGGATAGATAACAGTTGACCCTTGACTTGAAAAGGTTAAGATTGTAGTGATCAATAAAGCATCCTCTCAGTTATTGGGAAAAGAATCTGTCTGAGTGGAACTTCCTCTTTACCAATGGAATATAAAGGGAATAAGTCAGTGTATATGTGATGGTGATGAAACTCTGGACTAGTGGAAGCAAGGAATCTAGTTCCCCTGAATATCTGTCATGAAAATAGTGATAGAGCAGTGAGAGGCTAGTAACATTTCATTGGTCAAAAAAGGTGTGGAAAACAATTCATGAGCTACAAAGCTACATAAATGCTTTTGAACTTGGCTGAAGATAGAAAGTGAGGATTGGCCAGTTCTGGTTCCATTTTTGGTCTGATCTGGTTCTTGAAAAAATAGAGCATGGCAAGAGACGTCAGATAATTTTTGGAATGGTACTAGAGACCGACCATTTTAGCAAATGTTTGTATATACAAGTGCCACTTGAGGTCTAGTGTGAGCTCAGGTCCTAATAGAGGTTCAAGGCAAGGAGCCTCATCAATGGTATGATTGTTCATCATGAGTGGAGATAATTCAGAGTCTGCTTGGTGATGATGAAACATTACTGGAGATTCCTTGGATTATCTGGAAAGTTTTCCAGCCATTTTGAATATCTTGCTTGTATATATTTTATGTTGTGCAAAGGATTTATTGTAAAAATATTGCAGCCTTAACAGTTCAAATTAAGTTCCTTGCTACTTCATTTGAAATAGGCCATGGGCGAGATTAAGGAGAACATGATGAGGAAACTGATGGTAATCCCAAAACAAAACTTTGTAGAATATTTTGAAAAGTGGAAATGCAATATGTGTTCCCTCTGTATGTCGCAAGGGAATTACTTTGAAGTGGACTATGGTGTCATTGCTTGAAGTAGGGTAATTTTTCATTAATTTTAAATGGCTGGATCAATTCTAGACCATGTAGAAATTGGAACAACGTTTATCAGATGGAAAACAGAGATGAATTATAATTGGTTTTGTCTATATCTCTGAGATGAGGTATTATGATTGCCAGCTTCTGGTGTGACTTTTCTACCATGGTGGATGAAATAAAGGGTTTGCTTCAAAATTCCAGTCACCTGAAGAAGGCCAGAGTGTACAATAGCTGAAACATTGTGAATATGGTAGTGAAGATGAGGATAACAGTCTGAATAATGTAAATAATGTAAGTAATTATAATTGGTTGACTGTTATAAACTTACATGGTAAGAAAAACTCAAGTATCAAAGACTTTTCTGCTTCTGTTGATAGTCTTGGTATTCCTTGAACTTAAGCCTTGTTTTGTTTTATTTCTATCCCATCTCTCTATCAGTGTCATTCTTAATTAAGTTCTTTGGCTTGTAGTATCATCTGAGAAACACAGAAATGTTATCAAAGACTCTGTTACTTAACCCCATTACAAATGAGCAGATCACTTCAAGACAGTAAGAAGACAAGCCTGGAATACATCTGCTATTAGTCTTCTGCATTGATTGTGTCCATTCCCATGTTGCCAACATGTGATATGCTAAAACAGTATCCTTTCTAAAACTTCTGTACTCAAATCTTTATTTGTGGATATATTGGGGACAGTTATCTATTATCATTAGGGTCAGAGACGAGACACATACGAGTATGTATACCGTTTTTATATGAACACAAACATAAAAAGTTATTCCTGAAAATGATAAAAAAGTGTAGATCAAGAAATTTAATACCAGTAAAAAAAACATATAGAGGCACAGTGGAGTAATGGTCAGATGATCGGATTGAGGAATCAGAGCGTTGAGTTTGAATTCTAGTTGTGTTCATTGCATTCACTCACGGGCTAATACCCTTGAGAAAGGTATGAATCCATCTCATCCACATAGCTATAGATAAAAATAGCAGGACAGACTGAACCCTATAGCCTTGGTTGGCAACTGGTCTAGCAGAAGGAAAACTCTGAATTCAAACCACCTGCTACCTTGTAGTTCCAGCAACAAAAACAACCAGCAAGCCATTGAACTCTTCTATCTTGAATGTCACCATGAACAAGAATTGTGAAATGGTGGGGGAGTGGTTACCACAGTAGTGCAAAATGCACTAACTGAATAATGATATACTAATGATGATATAAAAAAAGCATATGTTTGTTTATGGCAAAATATTTTCTACAACTTGAACATTCTGAATAGGGGGTTATTGATTTTAAATGGGAAGCATTTTAAATTTATAGGAAGTCTTATTTTTTATTCATGATCTATTCAAGGCAGCACATATAACTTAATGATTGTAATAAATATTTAATATTTATCCTTTATTAAAAAAAAAGCTTAAAATGTCTATCTTAATCCTTATCAGTAACATGGGACCTCAAGTTTTACACTTAGGAGATTGCATTTCCAGTACCACTAATAATAAAATTGACATTAAATTCATACATTGGTCACAAAAACAGACTCTTTCATAGATTAAATTACTTCTTATCAAAACTTAGTGCAATTTGTAGACATATTGATTAATAGATCATTTGAAACCACAATATGACAATTAGCATAAGAAATATTTTTAGATGATACTAAAATACTGTTTAGCACCCATTGTAAATGGCACTAGACAAAATATTTGATGTGTTCCTTATACAAAATAAACAACCTATGTTAAATACAATGTCCTGAGTTGAAGGTATTTTAAAATGTGTTTAAAATGTAATAGCTTTATCCTTAGGTGTAGTTGAATTTTCTGGCTCTAGAAAGACATTTTTTAAAATCTAAAATGTATATCCTTTTAAGTTGGTCAAGCATTTTACTTCACATGGCTTCATTTTGAAGAAACAATATATAGGTCCCATTTTGCCAGGTTTACCACCAATGTATTAATGGCCATCACTGAATATGTCTATCAAGCTTTAGATAAGAAGAGTGAAGCTTGTGCTGTGGCTTTAGATATCTCAAAGGCATTTGACAGGGTTTGAAATGTTGGCCTTTTCTGCAAGTTCAAGGGCTACAGTGTCATGGGAAGAATATTTAACTTACTCCAATCATTTCGAACAAATCCTGTAATGATTGTTATGTTGAATGGGTGGGGGCTTCTAGATCATTTCATACTAATGCTGTAAGTCCCCCAGGGTTTTATCCTTAGACCTCTGCTGCTTTTGATCTTCATCAACGACCTTCCTGATGTCATCATTTCCCAACTAGGTATTTATACAGATAACACAACTATTTACTCCTGTCTTAGTAGCAAGTCAGACAGATCTGACAAACTAAATCTGGCAACTACTCTTGAAAAGGACCTCCAATCAATGGTTAACGGGGACAAGAAATGGCTTGTAAATTTTAATGCTCTCAAAACAAAACTCATGACAGAGAACTTTTTCTGCTAACCACCAGGAGAGCAAACATTTGTGCATTCTTGGTCTAACATTTCTACTAACAGGAAGTCATATTGTATCAATTGAAGTTAAATTGAATCAAGTGCTACTTCTCCTGCTAGGAAAGTTGGTTCACTGTGTCATGCCAGACAATTTTTTATCATCAGAATTCATCAGCCACATGTCTAAATCTACCATTCATCTATGCATTGAATAATACTGTCATATCTGGTTTGGTGCTTCTGCTGTATATCTTGAGATTCTTGACAAATTTTAAAAAAAAGGCCTTTAATGTAATTGGTCCTGATATGGCATCTCGACTTCAATCACTTTCTTACCAATGTGATGTGGTTTCCCTCTGTCTTTTCTACAAATATTTTCATAGTAACTGTTCTGATGAGCTTCTTTCTTTAGTGCCTCAAATGAATGAGTTTAAGCATGCTTGGAAACTAGGTCTCACTGTTTTATAGTTAAACTATCAAGATGCAACTGTCTCTTCTAAAATTTTATTTTCTTGCCCTTACCTTTTGAGTTCCTTTCCAATTTCTTGTTTCCCTACTACATACAATCTTCAAAAATTTAAATGCCACATCAATTGCCAATTTCTATCTTCCAGTTCCTTTATTGTTCTTTCCTCACTTCTTACTAAAGTCTTCTCATTCTCTTTCACCCCCTCACCCCACTGTATCCTAGTGACATTATCACCTTGCTTGGGGTGAAACGATTAAAAAATAAAATATAGTGCAATTAGGCAGTAATCATTCCTTCAAAATGTCTTATTAAAGAGTAGAGGCATTTTGTGTCTATTGAGTTTATGCATCTTTCTCTCCAAATTGAGAATAATCCTTCATATATCAACAATTCCTGTTATGCTAAATAAATGGTAACAAATTAGAATAAAGATATATAAAGGATCTTCATTACAAAAAAATTAGCATCTTTCTTTTTAAATTTGTAAACAAAAAATTTGTTACTTAGAAAAACAGACAAATATTATTCAATAAAACTAACCTTAACTTTGAGGAAGCTTCTATGTGACATTGGAAGCAACTTCTTGCTTAGATGAGGTGGTTTCTATGTGACATTGGAAGCAACTTCTTGCTTAGATGAGGTGGTTTCTATGTGACATTGGAAGCAACTTCTTGCTTAGATGAGGTGGTTTCTATGTGACATTGGAAGCAACTTCTTTATTAGATGAGGTGGTTTCTATGTGACATTGGAAGCAACTTCTTGCTTAGATGAGGTGGTTTCTATGTGATATTGGAACTTCTTGCTTAGATGAGGTGGTTTCTATGTGACATTGGAAGCAACTTCTTGCTTAGATGAGGTGGTTTCTATGTGACATTGGAAGCAACTTCTTGCTTAGATGAGGTGGTTTCTATGTGACATTGGAAGCAACTTCTTGCTTAGATGAGGTGGTTTCTATCCATATTTAACTATCATGTCCAAGGTGGTGAACTTCAATGAGTTCTTGCTATTATGGTGCCACTGGCCTCACTCTTGATGATATCCTGGATATAGTTGTCTAGGGAATTCACTTTTGGAGAGCTAGGAGGCTACATGCTGAAATGACTAAAGATTATAATGAGCCACTTCTGATATTCAATTGCAGACCAACAGCACTGGCAAGAAGACTGGGATATGATACAATAATCTTTTTATTTTCTTTTGGCTTTTTCTGCTCATTATACTTATTCAGTGTCTCTCTCTTTGATAAATTCTGTTTGTACTAATATATATATATATATATATATATATATATATATATATATATATATATATAATTGCAGCAATCCTTCTTTTATACAAGTTTTATCAAGAACAACTAACAAGGTACTGCAGTTAAATTTTTATTTAATTTTTCTTGAGTTTTTATAATTTTCTTCTTTTCTGGACATAATTTATGTAGAAATTATCCAAATAGTATAACACAAAAAATTAAAATAAACAAAAACAAGTTCTAGAAGGTTCTAGAAAACCATAGTAGTACTATACTTTTATACAAATTTAGAAATTTAGAGGGTAACATTTTTAAAAAATTAAACTGAATTAAACACTTCTTAATTATTTTTTAACAACACTTCATTGAATTATGATATAGGAAATCAATTATTTAACAAAAAGTCATAATCCTATATATTATATATATATATATATATATATATATATATATATATATATATCTTGTCATTCACAGACAGAATGTTTCACTGTATCACAGCTCATCAGTATGGTTAGACATCCAACTGTGTCAAGCCAGGATTGAAACCTGACTGATTTGACATCAGTCGGAGATTTTACCCCTGAGTTATCAGTGCCTGGTAGAGAGGAAGACAAATTTATTCTTTGAATAAACATGCCAGTGACAGAGAGGGCTCAATTTATACAAGAGCTTTGCATTATCAGCAGTAATAATCACTGTTTACAAATTTGAGCTTTCTCTCCAGAGTGCTTGACCAAAATTAATTTTTGGGTGTGTGTGTATATATATATATATATATATATATATATATATATATATATATATATTTTGGATGTACAGTCACTGTAATGGTTTTCAATCCATAAAGTGGAGTTGCTGAACCAAATAAAAATTCTGTTATATTGCCTTGGGAAAAGTATGAATCCATTTTTCTCCTGATATAGGTTAAATATAAGAATAGACTAGACTCTATAGCCTTTGGTGACAACCAGTATAGGAGAAGGAAAACCTAAGAAAGGCTCCAACCTGTGGAAGACTTGTTGAGCATCATTTCTCTGTCCTCATTTCTTTTGAAAAGTGTGGTTAGTTCTATATAAGTCTTTATCGCGACAATGGGATCATCCTCATCGGAAGTCTAGCTGTTCAATTCTAGTTTATAACCTTGTTAAGGAGAACATAAATTTGTTAGAACCATTTTATTGAGGAAGAGATTGATGAATTTGGTATCAGAAATGTTGAGAATGTAGTACAAAATTCTTTTTTTTATCCTGTTGCAAGAAACCACATTGTCAACCGCCTTTTCATTTTTAATCATTTCACCCTAAGTAAGACAATAAAGCCTCTAAGACACAAGGGGTTACTGAATGTGAAAGAATAAAAAAAAAAGAAAACTTATTAAGGAATGAGAAAAATAAAAGAAGAGGAATCAAGAAGACAGTTAACTTTCATCTATTTAATTTAATGCATTATAGATTAAGCATATTTAATGTCTTTGGTTTTAAAAAAACTTCAAAATATCTTGTGCTTAACGCCTTATTAGCTGTTATCATAAGCTTCACATTTCTAGCTTTTTCAATTTAAGTGCAGAAAGAAAAAGAAAAATATCTATTAATGGAATAAAATGATAAAATTTAAACAATCTTTGTAATTAATATCCTTTTTGTCTTTGACAGAATTAATGAATTCCAGGCTCAACTGGAGGATGTGATCCAATCAAAGAAACAAATGGAAGTTTTGCTGTCAGAGATGAGTGGAGGTCTTCGTCAATTAAGCAACAAAGTTGACAGTCAAGGATCCAAATTCTCTAATGCCATTAGTGAAATGATGCATATGTCAAAGCGTCTGGAAAATGAACATCGCCTTGTTGTATGTAGCTGTATATCTTCTTCTTGTTTTTGCTTTGTAAAGTAAATAACTTCTCCTATGTTAATTATGAAAATTCGAAAAACCCTGTTCTATACACACATTATATATTTACATTTAAATAAACATTTTCAGTATCAACAAAAGAAAAACAGTTTATAATATATATCAATCCTCTAGGCATTCAGAATTCGATGGTTTGATAGAAGTGATACTGATTAATTTGTGGTTAGGTTGACTTATTTGGTGAATATTGGCCTCACCCTGATTTAACAATGCCGAAATTTAAAGAGTTATTTTATATATAAAAATGCCCCCCCCCAATTATGACTAACAAGGTTGACAAGAACTCATTCTCTGTTATGCATTATGGTGCACCAATGAAGAAGTATTTTGTGAAGATACTTAAAAATAAAGCAAATCAAAGAGAAAAGTGGATTCATTGCATTTGTGAAAGTTCAACTTCAATTGAAATTTGAACTTTGCCAAGAGAACTCTCCTTGCCTTCCATTAGAATGTCTAATGCTCAACTTCACAAGAGCACCTCTTTGCGACTACTTGGTCTCACACTGTCTACTGACCTGAGAGGAAAAAATTCCATTGAATCAATAGCTTCATCTACTGCAAGGAAAGTTGGTTTTCTGTGTTGTGCCAGAAATTTTTTCTTTCATGAGTGCATACTTCAAATCTATAAATCAACCATTCACCCTTGCATGGAATACTGCTGTCATATATGGTCTGGAGCCCCTGCTGTTTGTCTTAAGGTCCAGAGACAGATATGCAATGTGGTTGGCCCTGATCTGGTATCTCATTTACAGTTGCTCTCTCACAGAAGTGTTGTTGCCTCCTTCTGTCTTTTCTGCAAATACTTTCATGGTAACTGCTCTGATGAGCTACTTTTGCTAGTTCCCAAACTGCATGAATTTAAACGTGCCACTAGGTCAGCATCTTAGTTCCACCCTTTCACTGTCGAAACGGTTGAATGTAGCCGTCTCTTCTACTCCAATAGCTTCATGTCTCGCACTTCTCGTCTGTGGAACTCCCTCCCTTTGACTTGCTTCCCTGATAACTATAATCTCCAACTATTCAAATGCAATGTCAATTGACATCTCCAGATGCCTTGATCTATTCCCTGTTCTTCTCTTCATCCTTTCCTCTTTCATGCCTCTTTACTCTTGCTCCCAATCTCTGTAACCCTATGTGTGCTAGTGGCACTCCCGCCTTGCCTGGGGTGAAAAGTTTTAAAAAAAAATTTCATATTTTAATTAACCATTAAATGACCCTTGACCTCCATACAAAAATATATCAGCCTAACAGTTGGTAAGTGAATGACAAAATGGCAAGACTTAGTAAATTGTTTCATTTCAAAAAGGAATGTCTTCAAATTAAGAATGGTTTTATAGATTTAATCAGTCTTTTATATAAAAAATGTGGGAAAAGTATGGGGCTAGAAATATTAAATTCCAATGTAAACTATAACTGGCATTGGTTATATCCCCCCCCCACTTTCATATACAGTCTGCAGCAGAAATACCACCCACATAATGGTAAAACATTAGTAGCAATGGTGTCTTCATCTAGCTAATGTCTTACTATTATGTGGAAGGTATTTCTGTTGCACCCTGTGAATAAGTGACACCATCATAAAATCGTTATTAGTCTGAAGAAGTTTGTTCTTGAAACAAATCCATCACTAAATATATATATATATATATATATATATATATATTGATAATATTAGTAGTCAATACATATATATATCTCTATCTATAAAAGGCAGGATGTGTGTGTGTGTAACGAATGCATGGCCGCAATTTTCGACGGATTTGCACCAAAATTTACATGCATATGCTCCAAGTTAGCGGAAAGGCCAAGATTGACTTTGCATTTCCCAACTCCCATCGATAGTGGAAATAATCGATTTTTTCATGCTTCTAAGGCAGTTTTCATGTAGTTTGCAGCCATTTTCTACTGGCCCAGAGTGAGAGCCAATAGCTGGCTGCCACGAATAGGCAGGAAGATTCTATTAGCCAGCGTGAGAGCCAACAGTTGACTGACACGAATGTTAACTAGCATGCTAGCATGCAAAAAAAATTGATAGCTGCATTCGTCACAAGTGGGAAAAATTTAAATCTGCATGGCACTTTACTCCAATTGGTTCATTTGCTTGTTTAAACTCAATGTTGATTCTGATTCTGCAGAACTGGGTTGGGTGTGAAAAAGTATTTGTTGTTAACATTCTTTTTTCATTTGGTTTTTCCAGTTATGAGTCCATTTTTAAAGCTGATCATTTTGTGTTCATTTTGTTTAGTTCTTTTTTCGTAACAGATTTAATGTTTAGTATAAAGCTTAGAAAAAATTTGCAGTGTGAGATAGGCAAGAAGTAAGGCATGTAGCAACATCAGCACGGCAAAGGGCACTCCTTTAAAAGCAAGGAAAGGCAAAAATATTTTAAGTCAAGTGATAGCGATTGCTGTATGAGTCGTACGATTTTTGAATCAAGCACGGGCAATGCGGGCCATGCTGCTAGTATATATATATATATATATATATATATATATATATATATATATACTATATATATATATATATATATATATATATATATATATATATATATATATATATATATATAAATAAATTTCAAGAGGATAGAATCCAGGTAGAACTCAATAACGTTGCTAATATTAACATGTTGTAACCTATAACAGTTTGATCTTGAAATCACTAACATCATGACATTTAAATGGAATGATTCTTATGATTATCTATATATATCATTGTCTGTGTTTATGTGGTGCTCTATATATTTTTTGATCATTTAATTTGTGTTAACAAACTTTATATGTGTATGTAGGTATGTAGGTAAAAAGATTTCCTAAATAACTGATATACAAAATCTGATAGTTTTCTGATATTTTTATATACCTAGATATATATGTAGACTTAAGGGATAGATATGTGTTAATCACTCTATGAGTTCTTAATATTGTTAATGTTTTCTTCCTCAGTAGGTTTTTAAGCACAAATTAGTTTAATTCTACCCATCTATTTTTATATGTTAAATGTATGTATGTATGGATGTGTGTTTTTTTACCTTTTACCTTTTAATTTATATATATATATATATATATATATATATATATATATATATATATATATATATATATATATATATATATATATATATATATATATATATATATATATATATAGATATAAATAGATAGATATATTGTATATTTGTTTAGATTAGTGTGTGTATGTATATGTATGGATGTGTGTAAGGTTTTATGTATATGTGTTTATGTGCACATATGTGTATGTCTATGTGTGTATGTGTATATGTATGCATGAGTGTATGTGTATGGAGATATATATGTGTGTGTATATGCGAGTAAATATAGATATGTTATTGTGTATGTTTGTATCAACTTATGTGTTTTTGGGCATATAAATAGAAGGTCCTTACTAGATTAAATATTCGTTATTTTTTATATGTTTATGTTAAATTTGTAACCTGTAGGTGATATTACTTGCTTTGTCAAATTTTCTTGATTACACATCGTTTCTCTTATAAATGCCCTTCGTTTTCAATTTGCGCCCCCTCCCATCTTTTTTTTTCTCTCTCTCTCATCTTCTGGATTTTAAGTTTAGATCATATCATTTTTTATTGTGCATAGTGTCACCACAAATGTATACACACATTTCTGGTGTCTGTTTTTTAATTTTAATTTAGGTCAGCGAATCGGTAGCGAATTATGCATAAAAAAATAATTCCTATTTATCTGTATCTCACTCATTTAAACCGTTATTTAACTCCTCTCTTTAAAACTTCTATCTGTTAAATTTTAATCCCCACCTTCAACTTTAGGCCTTCCTGTTCTTCTTTCTTCTGTTACACCCTCTCTCTAGAGCTTTCATACATTTCCCTCTCACACTTGTTTCCCACTCCCACACATACACTCTCACCAAAATTTTATTTTTTATACCCGTAGTTATATTTTCCGATTTCTTTTTGAATTTGTAGGTCTGATGAATTGGATCGTGATTATGATTCCAATGTAATAAATTATAACCATGGAATATTAGTGTTCGAGCCTTTTTTTTTTATATATATATATATATATATATATATATATATATATATTTTCAAGAGGTTAGAATCCAGGTAGAGCTCAATCTCCAGGACAGAATAAGAATATAATATAAAAGGCTCAAACACTAATATTCCATGGTTATAATTTATTACATTGGAATCGTAATCATGATCCAATTCATCAGACCTACAGATTCAAAAAAGCAATCGAAAATATTCCAACGTAATAAATTATAACCATGAAATATTAGTGTTTGAGCTTTTATATTATATATATATATATATATATATATATATATATATATATATATATATATATATATATATATATAAATATTAAATATTAATAAAATCAACAACCTTTTCTTAATGTATTGATGACTTAAGAAAGAGGTTTTAAGATAACTTTGGACAGTTTAAAATTGATTTATTAAGAAGATTAAAGTTAATGTTTGATTTTTAATTAAGATTTTTCATTGTAATTAATATTTTCATCTGTAGGGAAAGAATAATCATTAATAAATAACCTGAAGAAAACTGAAAAAAAATTATTTATGACTAAAAATGAGATTTGTTTATTTGCAGCAAGACTCCTTTTCAAAAAATCTTCATAATCCTAACGATACGTCTGTTTCTATTCTCAGAGAACAAATGGATAGCAGGTAAAATAAAGTTTTATTTAAATTTTTTTTCATCAAATGATTTGCTCTGATTTGTACTTTTGCATGCACAGAACATTGACAAGGAATATGCGTACCTTCTACCCTCTTCCTTGTTCTTCATACTATTAGAATCCCCTATAGAGAATAGGGCCAGAGCCCTAACATGCAAGGTGTTGCTGGTGAGGTCTCTGTAGCAAGTAGGTTTTAACAGGGTGGAATTGACAGTCTCATACTTGGCTCATCTGGAATATCTTTGTCTAACTTTTCACATAGAACTGAGTCTATATTGTGTGATATGCATATAACTCTATCCATGATTACTGCTATCATCTCTAAACTTAATCCTCACAAATCATGCAGATTTGATGGTATCCCTACAATTGTCCTAAAGTGATCCTCAACTGGCACCTGTTCTCTCTAAAATCTACAATAAATGCCTTGCAGTTTCATGCTTACCAGCCTGTTTGAAATCCTCTTCTGTAGTTCCTGCTTTTAAGAATTTAATCAAACTCGACCTTTTGAACTATCAACCTGTTAATCTTCTACCTTTTTTTGGCAAATTCCTAGAGGTTCTAATCAAATCTGAATTGCTTAAGCATCTCACCTTACAGGATTGTCTATTAGACAAACAATATGACATTCAGTTTTCAAAGTCAACCGCTGATATGTTAATGGTTATTGCTGAAAGAGTCTATCAAGCTTCAAATGAGAATGGTGAAGATTGGCCAGTTGCTTTAATTATCTTGAAGGCATTTGACAAGGTTTGGCATCCTGGTCTTTTTCACAATTTGAAGATTTTATGGTGTTTATGGTTTTATAGTGAAGAGTGGAGGAATAGAAGACATACTCTTATTTAATACACTATTACAGAGCTGCCATTATTGCAAGCAGACACAAATACACATCTGTTGTAAACAGAAGTATCTTACTGGTACACCCAGAAAAAATGATTCCTGTAGGCTATATCAGCAGAACAGGCCAGTATGAACCAAGGAGAAAATTGGGGTTTCACTTGGCATTTATGAGAAGGTGCAAAACGTTTGATGTAAACATTAACCCAAAAATAAACCACTATGGCACAATTCTCAAAAGGAAGGTTAAGAATATCAATCCAAGGGGTGTATCAAAGAAAGTCACAAATTGAATCCCAATCTGTGCACTGGTAACAGAAAGAAGTCTTGTGTATCGGCTGTTCCTCTCTAATAGACAACTCAAAAGAAATATCAACAGACACTGCAGCATGATCTGAATTGCCAAAAGGACAGAGTTGTGATGCTCAACAAGAGCTAGGAGAGGAGGTAAGGAACAAATCAAGTAAAGAAAAGTGTTGAACAGATTTATTAGGGAAACAAGTAGGGAAATCTACTATTTGACCCAGTGACTGAGCAACGGAAAAATTAAAAGTTTGAATGCTGACAACATCAGTAACATTAGAATGATCAATCCACTTGACATGATGAACATTAAAACCACCAAACACAAAATTTTGCAATAACAAAAGTTGAAAGCACATGAAAGATTCACGTGGAGACTCAAGAGACAATTCCCTTGCAATTGGGAGATTTTCTTGAATATAAACACCATGGCCATGTAAAGAATCTCTTCAATAAAAGAGGAAGATAGCCTTCAACAGAGAATTCATTGGTAGATAATAGAAGAATTTAAATTAGTTTTGCAAAGATGTCTGGAGAACATTTCAAGAGAAAAGATTCCACACTACAGAATTTGCCACAAATATTGGAGAAAGAATGTTTGAAGGAGGGGTAGATGCTTTTTTGTTAACTGGTTTACATATATTTCTTTTCATTATATCTGCCATAAGAAGATTTTGTTTTAAGAAAAAAAAAGGCCAAAATAATTGTCACTATCTATCATCTATGGCAATACAAACTGGCCAGAAGTTGGCTAAGACTAAAGCAATGTGGACTCAGAGTTGCTGACCAGAAATGCATGCAAGGACACCTATCCTTGCATCACATGGTACTACAAATACCCCTATATTATATGACTGTTGATTAGAGCAGCCTTTGTGTGCACTACCAAAGAGTTTGGGCTCCTTTACTACCAGATGGAAGGAACCAGAAAACTGCCAACCCAGTACTCTCATAATGAAAAATTGTAGCCACTGATTTAAGTTATGACAGTTAAATCATGGAAGAAACAACTGGTAAACTATTTCCTAAACAAGAAACAAGGGTTAAATCTCTACTCCTGTTCAATAAGCAAGTGATAGGTGAACCTATCTACTCTTATTACTCTGTTCACAGCACAGGAGATTGGGTTCTTTTATCAAGACACCATCTCTAGGAAGGTTATCGAATAAATCTCTAGACCCCTTACAGGGAATTACTAAATTATTAAAACCTCTCTTAAAGCTATCCCAAGAATTGAAATCAAAGTAATATTAACATAAAATTAGATATGTATAAAAATACATATTAAAAAAAAAAATGTATTTTTAAGAATGAAGATAATAAATGAATAATAATATAATAAGAATTATAATATAAAAAAAATAAACATAAGAAGAAATAAAAAAATGATCATAGCTTTCCTAAGCTTTCCAGGAGAAAGGGAAAAAACACGTTTATTCATTACTACATCCCGCATTCAGTCTTAAATATATTTGGTTTTTCTTTACATAAAATTACTATCTGTTTCTTTTTTTGTGTAAAATTACAACATATGTTTCTTTAATTTCACACATTTGATTCTTTTTTTTCCTTTTCTTGTCCTCAGAGTAGGTGAATTGAAAGAAAGCCTTTTGTTCATGCGACAAAAGTTTGAACAAGAAGCACAACAACGGATTTCCATGGAACAAAATTTAAATCGCAAGTAAGACAAATTATTTATCAAATATGTTTCTGCATACATTGATATTGTGGATTAGTAAACCATAATCTTTGGTCCAAAAATAATCTATGATAAGTTTCATTTAGAAGTCAGGCCCAATTTTTGAGAATATTTGAACTGCTTTTTTGTTAAAACATTGTCAATCATTATTAGAAATTTTTATCTATATTTCTTTTATTTTAATTTCAGTTACTTTTTATTACACTGACAATCTATGGTGTTGTTTTCTCGCTGCCATAAAAGAATAGTTTGAGAAAGTTGCAAAAAAAGCAACTAAGATTACAATGAAAATAATACTAGTCAAAATTGAATAATGTTTAACAATGGAACAATAAATTTGGCAAACAAGGCCCTATATTTTTTGCCACATAAGCCCATTTATGGAAATACTGACAAAGGAAAAATTCCTTTACATTCTATAAACTGAGAAACTGAAGTCAGCAGTAAGAAGAAAACATTTACTATTTATTGTTACAGTGCTTTAGAGAAACAAGGATAATTTTGGCAATAATATTGTATATTTTCATTAAAATATTTATTTATATTAGTTGGAATAGAAGTATTTTTTTCAGTTGGTGAATATTTTTCATATGTGAATCTCTTAACATTTCTATGTATAGGTTAACATCAGCCCATAAAAAAATATTGCTTATAAAATTTGGTTTTAAAAACTCTACATCTATATAGGCATATTTAGCATTTCACATTTTTTGTTTCTCAACAAAACCTTCCATTCAAAATTCTGCAATATTATAAGGAAGTTTAGAATTATGATCCCAATGATAAGCTTATTGAAATTATAAGGAATAAATATCAAATAAGGCTTTAGATTAGAACTGAAGTTAAAGATTAGAATTTTGACAGTAGTAAGATTGAAGCATAGTGTAGAATTTGGTAGTGTGGATAATACTAAGCCTGTAAAAAATTGAGTCGATTGAATTTGGTACTAGTAACGCATTACTCTGTAATAGAAATTGAGTCTTACTGAGCAATTGAGGAATTTGGTAGTAGTAACAGACATTACTCGTAATAGAAGTTGAGTCTTAACAATTGACATTTGGTAGTAGTAACAGACATTACTCGACTGTAATAGAAGTTGAGTCTTACTGAGCAATTGAGGAATTTGGTAGTAGTAACAGACATTACTCAACTGTAATAGAAGTTGAGTCTTACTGAGCAATTGAGGAATTTGGTAGTAGTAACAGACATTACTCGACTGTAATAGAAGTTGAGTCTTACTGAGCAATTGAGGAATTTGGTAGTAGTAACAGACATTACTCAACTGTAATAGAAGTTGAGTCTTACTGAGCAATTGAGGAATTTGGTAGTAGTAACAGGCATGTAATAGAAGTTGAGTCTTACTGAGCAATTGAGGAATTTGGTAGTAGTAACGGACATTACTCAACTGTAATAGAAGTTGAGTCTTACTGAGCAATTGAAAAGTGTAACACATTGCTCAACTGTAATAAGGACTCTAACTGACAAAACTGTACACTTGCTCAGTAGGACTCAACTTCTATTACAGTTTCATTTGCCACTACCAAACTCTACATGGCCCTGTGAACAGGATGCGAACATGTGATTCATAGAATACTGATTCATGGAATACTGTTGGATATTTATTGAGCATAGTATCCATAACAGAATCAGCAGCCAATCAGGAGTCACAGAATAGGCTTGCCTGTGAAGATGTATTGAGTTACAACCCACTTTATTTTTGTCTGCCAACTGCTTGCTAGCTGGGAACCTCCTTGCCAGAGTGAACCTCACATTCCCGTTTGTTCACATAGGATAAATATAAAAATGTATAAAAATATACAGAGTGGTTGACAGTGTTTCATTTATTTTTTTGTGTAATGATAGTTCACCTAATATAAGGCCTAAGGGCCACTCAAGGTAGAGGGTTGCTAAGTGAGATTGTTAGGGAAGTAAGAAAGTATTATGAGGATGAATAGGATAGATATTTGTTAACCCTGGACTTAAAGGGACCAAGATTGTAGCTGTCAGAGAAAACATTCCCCTTACAATGTCATTCTCCTTGTATATGGCATAGCAGGTCCTAACTGTGATGGTCTGAGTTGTTAGAACGAAAGAATGTAATTTGTCTAGACATCTGTCATAGTAATACCAATAGAGTAATAAAAGGCTGGCAGTGTTTTGTCTGGGGGATAGGGGTTGCAGGATGAATAATAATTCCTCACCCAAAAGACCGCATAAGCACTTTTGGACTTTTTTAAGGCTGGACAGTGAAGATTGGGCAGCACTAGCCCAGATTTGACAGCAGTAATACACCATTCTTGGTCTGATCTGCCTTTTGCAAAGATAGTGCATGGCAGCAAGAGTTGGGTATTTTCTGGCGCAATATGAGGACCAATTATTCTTCCACCATCTTTTTTTTTTATTGTGGCACGAATATATGAAGTCTAATCAAAAAGTATTGGAACTGGTGCTATAAAAAGAAAACTACAACACATTGATTTGGCATTTAATCTCCTTCAAAGTAGTCCTCTTCTAAAGCTACACTCTTTATCCAGCATTGTTTTCATTGATTCATTCCTAGAACTCCTTTTTTTGGATAGCAAGCAGTTGCCTTTTCACATTCTCTTGGATTAACACAACATCTTGAAATCTTGTTTATTTGATTTGATTTTTGAAGAGGAATAGTCACACAGGATGAGATCTGGGGATTATGGTGGTTGTTGGACCTGAGGGTGGTGGTTCTTGGTCAAAAACTGCTGTAGAAGCTATAATCATTGATTGAACCTCCATGATGTGGTGAGATGACCACACTCTACACACTGTCCTTCCAAGCACTGCTATAAACAACAAAAGTGAGCAAGAATGTTATAACTTATTGTGTGTGTGTGTGTGTGTGAAGGTGCAGAGTTCAAGAAGATTTACTCTTTGCCTTTTACTCCATTACCATAGCAGCAGCCCCAATACTTTTTGATCAGGCCTTGTATTTGTTTCAACAAATCAAGTTAATATTTTAAATGAATGTTGAACTATGGTTAACAATATCAGCCACTAGAAATATGTACAGAACAGAATGGACTTATTTTTTATTATTTAAAAAAAATGTTTCATGTAAAAAAAGAGTTTTAGATCTTTGATCCACTTTATAAAGACTCAATTCTAGAAGAAAATCCTGAAGGCTGAAACTTTAAATTTTGAGTAAATCATAAAGAGAAGCAAACGGAGTGAAATATACAGAGTAATATGTTTGATTTATATTTTATCATGTGAAAAATATTTCACTGTTTATTTTAAGGCTGTAAATTGTAAAAATTGATTTTAATGAGAATTATTGAACAATTTATATATTATTCAGATTTTGAAGCTTAAAAAGTTTGAGAATAAAGAAAATACTTTTTCTAGAATTTGGTGAATTACCTTTAGGAAGTATTATTGAAAGCTGACTTATACATAAGTTATTGAATGGCTGGAATAAAATTAAGAAAGAGAGTGTTTAACACACTTGCAGAAAGAAACATATACAAACACATAAAGAAATGCACACATAAGCACTTTATTTAAGAGCTATTTGTTATAAATTAAGTAAAACTGAGAAAGTGTGTAGCACACAGACACACACACACACAGACAGAGACAATTTGGATAAACAAGCAAATTGATAGACACATGTACATACAGACACAAAATGTAAACATAAAGACCCCCCTGCTTTCACACTGTTTGTTATAAATACATTTTTTCTATTAAATTTGTGTTTGTCTTAGATTAAGTGAAATGGAAAGTAGCATAAGTCTGCAAATGCGAAAACAAGATGATTCCACACGGCAGATTAACCAACTTCAAAATGACCAAGAACATGGTAAGGATTATTCATGGCAGAGGCTACAAGGCCAATTTCAGGATAACCTGGACGATGTCAGTAAAAGATTGAATCATAAAGAAATCGCGATAAAAGAGGAAATTGAAGAAAAATTTCAGCAGCTTGAGAGGGTAGGATATTTTCAGATCTTTTTTATTTATTTATTAAGCATAATATATAAAAAATGTTGCACATTTTTAGTGTTTCTCATTCATTTCCTACTAAAAGACAAAAATCTAAGTGTAGTCAGTAATTCACATAAACAAAAGCAGAATTTTGAGCAGAGTCTGGTCCAAATGGAAAAAAATGTTTATGGAAGGCACAATTGGTGATCAATGTGTTGGCAGGTATTTTTGTGTCAAGCTTAGTTTATTTTTTTATAGAAATTTCTTTACCTAGGTATTTCATTTTTTTTAATTTTACTTTATTTGAGCGGAGAAGTATTTGGATTCTGTGTGTGCCAACATGAGGATCCACCTGATCTTTAGATTCTTATATAGATAGTTATTAATGAGTTTAATTTAGCTCCAGAGTCACATGAAAGACAGAAGATTATCACAGATTTCTCATGTGGTAAGCCTGACTGTCTTAAAAATTAGAAATTGAAATCCTGGCTTTTGCTTTGAGCTGAACACATTCCCAGAGGTTTCATATCATGTGCAGTACTTTATTGTGATAGAGTACGAAAAAATGAATGAAGTCACAACATGATTTTTAATTCACAACATTCATTTTGTATTTTATTTCTACTACAAGCAACAATAGTTTCCATATTTATGTATATATATATACATATGTCTGATTGAATAAATTACAGACATTATGTCTGCTAATTTTTAATAAAATCCGTTCATACTAACGAATAACCTTCTGTGTATTGATGTTTAAGGATGAGAGAAATGTGCTATAGCTGTTTAAATTTCTTTTATTATAATTTCCCAAGTACTTTCGATCTTCTTTCAAGATCATCTTTAGAGGTGCAAGTGGTACAAAACTATATGAATATAAGTATTTATACAAAGATGTGCATTGTTATACTTTGCTGTAATTTTTTCATTATGCTTTTAAATGCAAAATAGTTGACAATCTGCCAAGTGTTCATTAGAACATGAAAAATTATCCATTATGGAATTTTTTCCTCTATGTTATAATAAAAGAAATTTAAATGGCTATAGCATATAGCATATTTCTCTCATCCTTTAACATCAGTACATGGAAGGTTATTCATGAGTATGAATGGATTTTGTTATAAATTAGCAGACATAATGTCTGTAATTTATTCAATCAGACATACCTAAAAGGAGAATTTGCTGCCTAAATAGACACACACACACACACACACACATATATATATATATATATATATATATATATATATAAAACTTTGATTTTAAACCTCTGCTGCCTTGCAAAGAAAAGCTATAGAATTAAATTCATATAGCATATCTAGAGTAGAGCCCTGAAGAGTGGTTAGGCATCAAAACTGACAAATGTAATGCCTTGTATTCTTTTGTATCAGTACAGTCAAAAAGGGGTCCTTGTGGACTGGGTATTGCATGGCCTCCATATATCATCACCTAGACCTGTGTCCTGGTGAGGTCACTCCAGTTTTGTCAGAAAAAGACTGAATTTTGACCAAATACGGCATTACCATTATCTTCCAAGATAAACAGATACCTATTTATATATATTTATATAAGGGCTTTGGTTCAAAATGTTGTTTGCTACTGAAGACTAACTTTGTAGATTTGACAGCAAATCAACAGAATTAATGTTTGGCTGTCGTGAAATTGGTTCAGATTTAAAAAACTATGAATATGATATTTAACTCTTTTAGAGTATAAAAATAAAGAAAAAGAAATAAAACTGTTGTCAGTTTCTTCTTGGTGCTAATAAAATTCCCTACTTTGTTTCTTTCACCAAACAGTGTTGGGCAAGTTAGGGTATTGTCCATCAATATCTCAATTAGTGGACTGTGTTCACAGAATGCTGCCAGCAGATACAAAATGGTGTAATGTGAGTGTTAAGAAATGTGTGCCATTGTAGTATTTGATGTTGATGCCTAACTGCCACCAATTGCTATCCATTTCAAGTCTCTACTTTTGCCAAGAGATTGGGGCTGGGTCTACCGTCCGACACTCTTTGGAATCTTGTATTGCCAACTTGACGATTACCTTCATAGTCAAGGAGCACACTCTTCAGACAAAGTAGGCTGTATGCTGAATGCTAGGATTTCCACTTTGATGGTGCCTGAACTGGATATGCTAAGATGCCAATTAGTCAATCAAAACAGCACACATGATTGGCAATGGGTTGGTCCCTTGTTTGATCATGTCAAGCCACTTTTTTTGTACTCAAGTTAGTCTATCCACTAGATAGATAGATCTGACACAATCAGGGTGATGTCAACAATCAAACATCGCTAACCAGCTTTTTTAAGGTCGCCAACCTTCATTGTATTAACATCTTGCATGAGGCTTTGGTTCTTACTCGGGATTTGCCCTTCAAGTTGTCGGTCAACCACATATCGAGTCTATATATAGATGCAACATCTTAGATTGCCACTGTAGTGCAAGGTTAAGACCCTTTAGTGTGGTGTCAAGTTCCGCTTGTTGATATGCTTGGTTGTTAGATGAAACCAGCATGTGTCTTCCAGAATAACAGCATGTCTTTCCAACACCATACCGATTGCCAGGGAGCTTGTGTCAACCCATGCATTAATTTCTTCTCCGGTTGCATATTAGTCACCTTGGGTAGGATCATCCTGGTGCACTTTGGTGATTACTTTGGCCATCTTCTGCTTGAGAGGGTTGCCGTTCAATATGGCCCCTCCATCCTTTTGTTACTGCAGTTTCTCATCTCTTCATTACTCCACCCATAGACAGAAAAGTGTCCTATCAATTTTCTATAAATGGAAAATATGTTACAGTGCATAATTATGGCATGGAGTTCTGGAACTGTACTCCATTGCTTCTACTGTAGAGTGTTGTGCTCACACCAGAGTTATAGGCCCAATGCTAGAGCCCCATCTTTTAGGTGCTTGGGGTCCTTACTGGTCAACTTGATCTCATCCGCAGATGTTGTGCTTTCATTCACATATATATATATATATATATATATATATATAATCAATATAAGATGTGGTGGCTCTCATTATCACTTCCTCTTGAGACAACACACACTTGACAATAGCTTTCATAATGAGAGGTACCACATTGAGACCAAATCCTACACGTGTCAAGCAGTACCTTTTTTCTTTGATTATTAGCACTTGAAATGACCACAGCGACTCATGGATGTGTATCTGGAGATATGCCCTCTGTAGATCAAGCAAGTTCACATTAATGCCTTGCTGGCACCACTCCTGTAATTTGGCAGTACATATGTTTGTATCTGCAGTGAAGGCATCTGCATGGCAGTTCAATTCTTGGTAATCCAAGGCCAGATGCACATTGTCTTTGTTGGGATGAGCAACAGCCATCAGAAGGATCCGGCCCTTGGAGGGTCCTAATTGTTCCTGGGGGTATGGTATCAGCTAGTTGTTAGCAATCCATGTTTGCAACTCCTCTTCATATGCAGCCCTGATCTAGTTAGATACTGCGTATTCTGGAATTGTATTCTGTAACTGCTGTGGTGCTTTATTCATGGCCCACATCCACCTTGTAGTCCAGGCTTTCTCTTTGTGGTCAAAAGTAGCACAGAAGTCAGGTTCTTCAATGGAGACTGCTGCACACAATTCTTTCTTTCTACTGAGCTGCACATCTCCAGCTGACGTAATCACAGTGCCGCCTAATGCTTGTATGGCATTGATCGCAATTAGCAGATCATAGCCAAGAAGTTTTTCTTGTATGAACAAAATACCAACTTCAGTATAGTTACCTTGCTCTGTGTGAAATGTAACCACCCCAGCTCCACAGCATGCTTGGGACACACTACCAATTGTTACACTATATATGCATTGCCTCCTCCATGATTGACAGCTTGATTTGCACTAATTATTGACTGGAAACATCCAGTGTCAACAAGTGCTGAACACTGTACACTGTCTACCTGTTTGCAGGCCACAGGTAATGGTACGTTTACTGTATTACAGAGGACAAGGTTGGCGATAATACCTTGTCCCTGGATCCATTTTCCAAACAATTCTGCACCACCAGATCCAGCTTATTGCAGCAATTGCTCCTCACACCACTTCGACTCCATCACTTCATTGCAAAGTGTTTTCGACCACCACATTTGTAACATATGGGATTATCATGACTGTCAGTTACAGAGGAATCACTTGGTGTATGTTTCTCTGGTTGGGATACTGCTATGATGTTCATTCTTGCTGCTGCTACCACTGGTTCTGCTTCATTGTGAATGTCTCAAGCTCGGGCCAGTAGCTGATTGGTCAATAGTTCATTCATTCTGGATATTGCTCACAACAGCTGACTGACATCCTCTGGCAATCCTGCTACATAGGTGCACCTCAGCATCCGGTCATTCGTGTCCCCTCAGAAAGGTTTTGTAAATCAGAAAAGTATAGATATCAACTAATTAGCCAAGGAGTAGTCGGCACCTAATAAATTGTTGATATGCCACAAACAGGTCTGCTCCGAAGGCAGTATAAAGGGCTCATTTTATCTTGGTGAAGTCATTTTTTCTTCCTCTTTAAGCTGCTGGTACACAGTGTAGGTGTCCCCTGACAGCCTCAAAGGAATGACTGTTGTTGGCTCTTTCAATTTGCATAGGCCAGTGGAAGAACCATCAAACTCTGGTATCAAGTCGAATTGGTACATGAGTGTTAAGTGCCAAAATAGCTTGTAGTCAGTTTCTTTTTGCTGGTAATAAAATTCTCTAATTCATTTCTCTCAAAAAACAGTGTAGCGTAAGTGCAACAACACGTGTCTCTTGTTCACTATCACAGTCACACTGCTATGCTGCACTTTTTATAGATTGAGTGACAGGTTAAATTTTCATTGGTGGATTTTTGTTAAATGTACGACTTGTAAAGCCGCCATTTTCTTTTTGGGATACTTTACATGAGAGACACGTTTGAATCCATTTGCAGCCAGGATGTAAACTATTTTCTCTTGTTACAAAAACTAAATGTAATATTTTTAACAATATGATACTCCTTGAAGCATTCCATGCTCTATGGAATTGTAAATTCTTTGCACTAAGTTGTCACCATTTTTTGCCTTTTTTGTCTTTGAGAAGTATACAGGCAGACATAACATTGTCATTGACTTATTTGTCAAGATTTATTTGTAGACAAATGCTATAACTTCATTAATCCTTGAGTTGCTAATTTATCATTTAGAATCAAATCAGGAATTCTGCCTGTTTTGTTGGGAAAATTTTAAATTATCACTGAATGATATCAATTGATTGTCAATGAAATATCAGTTGATGTGGCCCACCATGTAAGGGTTAAAATGAATCTACTCCTTAGGTTAATTTGACTGAGGCTTAAAGAATTTGAAAGAAGATATCTGATAAGAGAATGAACTTTTTGATTAAAAATATTTTTACAGTCATTTTTCTTTTTTGATATTTGATCTTCTGATTGGCTTCATTTGTTTTTTATTTTTTATTTTTCTTCTCTCTTGAGATGATTCAACAAGAACGTTCACAAAGGGTAGAATTTGAACGATCAGTGCAAAGTGACACAGATAGACGTGCCCAGGCAAATAAGCAAAAATATAGCAATGACTTGCAGAAATTAATGGATTCCATCAAGGTAACTGTTTATTCGATACCCAGTCCCAGGAACAAATATTTACTCAGTTTGTGTGAAGCCATTTTGAGATTTTGATAGACTTTTAAAAACTGTTTGTAAATCTCTTGCAGTTAGAAATAACAAATTAAACACTAAAGATAAATTATTTTTAGTGAAATTTCCTTTAATTAATTAATTATAATTAATTAGTCAATAACAACCTGAATAGAAAATGATGTGTTGGTGGGTTAAGCAATTATGATTTTGGCAAAATTTCATTTAACTAATTGAACATCAAATCAAGGAAAAGATTTTATCTTTTCTTCCATATCCTCACTTCCTACCACCTCCTCTTTCGTTTATCATCCATTTCATTCAGTAACACTCTACTTTGAGTGACTCTTGAGCTTTGCATTGGATGAATTCTAGTATATAAAAAATTGTGTCAAACTAAATGAGAAGAATGGAAACATCATTAACAGAAATATAGGCAAATGACCTAAATGGCAAATAACCTAAATGACCTAAATGGCAAATGACCTAAATGACCTAAATGACAAATAACCTAAATGACCTAAATGGCAAATGACCTAAGACAAATGACCTAAATGATAAATGACCTAAATGGTGTTGTGATAGCAAAAAAAAAGGGGACAATGGTAAATAATTTGAGTTGTTGTTCTACTATTTTTGGATATTACCATGTTTAATTAAAAAAAAGTTTATATTGCTGAGTTAATTTTGAGGAAAATGTTAACTGAGCTTATGAATGTAAAGTAAAAAACTTGTTTCGATCTTAGAGAATCATCCAAGAGGCAAGACAGAATTAGAAACATGATTTTCTATGGAGGTGGGATATTGAGGTGTTTTTTTATAAACATTTCACTCACAACCAAGGTGATAATGTCACTAAAATGAAAGGGGTTACTGGGAGTGGAAGCAAATGAGAAGACATTAGTGAAAAGAAAGAACAACAATACTACAGGGTTGATGAAGACATAAGATGCAACAGGTTTCCTAGGTGTGAAAAAGAATGAGAAGAGATTAGTGAGAAGAAAGTGAACAAAAATACAGTATTTAGGAAGACAGAAGCTGGTGATAATGCCACTAAGTTACAAGGGATTACTGGGAATGAAAGAGAATGAGAACACTGTAAGGAGAACAAGGAGAACACAATTGTAGTTGTGTTTTGATGTGTTTCAATGTATCTCATCAGATGATTGTAATTTGATATTGTTGACTTTTACCCTTCCATCTCCAAGAATCTCTTTACCCTGGTGCTTTGGAATTTGCCAAAGTGTATTCTAACATCTCCAGTGAAGAGATAAATGTAATAATGAACAGTAGAAGATCTGTTCTCATCCACAATAAAGAACAGTGGGTTAAGAACTCTGATTATTACTTTGATATTTCAATGGGATCATTAGATTCTGCAGAATCTTCTGATCTGGTGGGTTTATTTATTTTATATAACATTTCTACCTATGAATATGTCAATGTTGATAATATAGGGTTATATAGAGATGATGGTCTTGTGGTAGTAAAAAATTCCACTAAAATTAAGGTAGATAAATTAGGAAAAACGATTCTAATGGTAAGATTAGTACTAATGTTAAAGAAGTAGATTTTCTTGATGTTAAATTAGATCTCGTTAATGATATATTTCAACCTTATATGAAACATAATGCCAACCCAATTTATATTCACCCCAATTCTAACCATCCTCCATCTGTAATACAATATATACATTCGTCTGTAGAATGTAAGATTAGCAACCTCTCATAGGTTTAATAAATATAGTGGTGTTTATAATAATGTCTTAAAGAATAGTAGTTACAAGTACACTGAAATCAAGTATAGAAAATATAATAATATTAATCTAAAGAAAAGGAATGGGAATAGGAAAATCATTTGGTACACACTCCCATTTAATCAATTAGTCAGTACTGAGTTAGGCCATACGTTCCTTCATTTGATTGATAAATATTTTCTTAAAAGTAACCCCTTTAGTAAAATATTTAACAGAAACACATTAAAACTAAGTTATAGCTGAACCAATAATCTTGAGAAGATTATAAACTTATGCAATAATAAAATTTTAAACCAATTTAATAATCTGGATCATAAAACATATTAAAACATATTTGTTAAACAAATGTTTAATTAAATCTCTGGTTTATCTTAGTACTATCTCTACAGTAGAGAATCCGATGGTTGAAAAGTTTGATATTGGTAGTACTATGAATTCTTTTAAAACTAGGTGGTATCAATTTATCTTGTTCTTTACCAATACTACTTACAGAAATAATACATCACTTTCTAAATATTTTTGAAGCTTAAAAGATGATAATAAGACACCTAAGGTGAAATGGAAAATTTTAAAAATGACAAGGACATGTAGATCTTTATATGTACTCTGTTTTCTGTGTTTACATGAAAAACTTGAAATGATCAGATTTTTTGACAAAAAACTTTTGTTAAATCAAAGAAGTGACTTAACTGTAAATTGTAAGCATAATTTACATTTTACCTTACAATTTAGTTAAACTTTGAAATTTGATAATGCTTTTTCTTATATTTTAGTTGTACTGTGTTGCACTATATATGGCTTATGTTTCTATTTGTAAGATTGATATGAATTTAACATAATTTTGTATTAATTTCCTGGTAGTATTAGTGTGATACTTTTCCCAGTGTCCAGTTGTCTCTGACATGCAACACCCACAACTGGTTTTTGAAGTGAACGCTTTGATCTCAGCCTTGTCCTACCCCATGTTGTGTTTTTTTAGATCATAGAAAAGTCAAGATTGAATTGCCGCAGGGGGTCTCTGGTACTGGATTAGTCCAAACTGGCTAATGACATAACAATAAAAAGACCAAAAGAAATGATGCCTGGCTTAAGAAAATAAATTCCAATTTTATATCAGTTCTTATACAGCAGAACAGTTCTTGACCCAATCTGCTTCTAACCAAGAGTGACACTTTGCACTTTGGGCAAGTTCTTATTGTTGGTTTAACAAAGTTTTGCTTTTCTGTTGTAGTGTACTTCTGCTTTTCTGTGTTAGTGTGGTTCTTCTTCTTCTGTGTTAGCTTCTTTGGTACAAAGCTGAAGTTGGAGGTTCTTGCAATTGGCAGGAATCACATGGATAGTTTCAGCAAGCTGGTCACTTCACTACCTCGGCAAACTCTGCTGAACTTTTCTCTTCTCTCTCCAAACTTTGAACTGCCTCTCACTTCAAGGGCACTCGTAATTATGGACTCTTACCCAATACTGGTATGGGGCATGATGTAGTCTGGGGTCTTGGTGATTCCAACAAATCCAACAAGAGTCCATTGTTTAAAAATTGTTTATGCAAACAATTTTGGTGAGATCTCTTCTTCCATGAAGAATGGTTGCAGGATATCAATCCACCCACACTCCTTCTCACACTAACACTCATTGATAGCCGTTAGTAATTCTCCACCTCTCTCGGTGTCCTGCTTATGCCTGCTACCTTGGCTACTACCCAGCCAATGGCTTCTTGATTGATTTGACATGGCCTAAGCTACTTCATTAATTAGATGACTTTATCTTTCGATATTTTGCTTATGTAGGGTTTTTCGTCCCATCACAAATTATGAACTAAATAACATTATTATCTGGAATTTTGCCTACACAAACTTTTCCTTGTTCTGTCAAAATTCCATATTTAACACATGGCCCCTCTTGTTTGGGCCATTCCCCAAACTTTATTACTTTGTTTACAAAGAGTCTCTATTCTTCACTTCTGGATGGTAGATCATATCTTTGTCGATCTTGCCTATTACATATTCCATATTTTGAACCAACACTTCTTAATGCCTGTCATAAGTCACTGCCAAATTGGCATTTTGTGTTTTCATAAATTTAAGAATCTTTTGTTCTCAGTTCCAGGTCTTCATGCCATTTCATTGCCGAGTTTGCTTATCTCGATGTTTTCATAACTGGCACTTTTATGACCCTTTGTAATTACTGCCAAAAACTTGCCACATTACTTTTATGCAAAAAATTATCGTTTTCAAAATTCTCATTTGTTAAGAATTTAATCTTTCTTTGAAAATAAAATATTTAAATGACTGTCGGTAATAATTAAATAATTTTTCATTTTTGCTTCTTTATTATGATGATATCAGCAGATGAAAATGAGAAGAGATTCTTCTGTTTCAGAGACAGAAAATTACCCTCTCCCCAACCTGTTGTTGATGAGTTAATAAGCTTTGAAAGAGATATGTTCGGACATCATAGATCGGGTTTAGAACTATGAATAATTGTTTTCAAAAATGCCTAGCAAATGACATAAGGAAAATAAAATGTTATCTAAAATACTAATAAAGGGCAATAGAACTGGCAATATTTATAGGATGAACTCGATATATCTTTTATATAAACAAAGAATTAAAAAAAGATCTTACAAGAAATATGCAATAAAGACTACAAGATAAACTTTATAAATAATCCGTTGATATGCTGTCTATGTAGTCCACCACTAGTAGTGTTTTACCTACTTCATGCCGCTGGCGAGTATTGTATTTTATTGATGTTATAAAGATTACCATTCCATTTCCAACCTCTGTTTTGGTTATTCCTCATTCAGTAACCCTTTCTAGGTTACAAGAGAAAGAAGAAACAAACAACAGTTGCTCAATGTGAATAGTAGCTTCAACCACCCAAGAACAGTAATCAAACATGTACTCTGATGAATCAAGTGTAGGTTTTCTAGGAATTCCTAGAATATAACAACATATATTTGAAGAAGTTGTAAAAGGGCTTTGTACAAAGAAGGACGTAAATCCAAGCTGGTGTTTAAAATGTTAATAACATTACTAATGGGTAGCCAAAAAAGAAATGAAACATTATTTCATTTACCCTATCTTATTTAATTTAAAGGTGAACACCAAAATTAGTAAAATCTTCTTAGAATTGTTGAGTAAACATATCCCTAAGAATTCCATGTTACATAAAATTTTCACTGTAAAAATTAGTTACAGTTGTATGAATAATATGGAAAAAATAATTAAAGGGCAGAATTTTAAAAAGTAAGATAAGCATAGTTCCTCATTTCTATCTAAGGAAGTGCATGAGAACTTTACTAATTTGGGTATAGCTAGAAGTTGAACAACCCCTTACAACCTCCAAGGGATTGATCAATGGGAACAATACAATTAAATTATCTGGAAGCATATCACACTGGCCTTGGCTTTGTGTTGTGGAGTAATTTCACAGTGGAGGTTTGTATTTGTACTAAATTGGTCCTAAAATAGGTTCGACGTACAAAAATTTAGGAACTTGATATAATAGGTATTACGCAGAGTAATCTTGTTGTGGTCACTGATACTTTTGTATTTGACTAACTGTCGTCCGACATCGACTGACCTTCGTTTCTATTACTACTCCTACTTATATTAGGTGGGAGAGTGTATTAACTATAGGTGTGTTTCACCATAATACCCTGCCTCCTAAAACTTAAAAAAAGTAAAAGAGTTTTCTTTATTTATTTTTTTACTGGAAATATGAAGAAAAAACAAAAAATAACTTCATAGCGTATCTGCTACATTTTGGATTCACTTTTAAATGATCAGTTGCCTTTCTTTTTCTCCTGGATTGGCGTACCTCAGGTAAAATCGTTGCAGGCATTATTAGATCAAACATATCAAAAATCACCTCCATTAGCGTTTCTCCCATGTGACCACTGTCAACTACGTCTGAAGAGCGTTGTCTGATCTGGTTAATGTGCCGTCTGCATGTGAATTTTTCGCCTTTCACCAAGTACATCATATTTCCAATCCGCTTTTCTATTTTTTGGTACCTCCATAATTTTACCAGAAACAACCTTCTGGTTTGAGCTTCTTAAGGATGAGGTCACAGTTTCTGTAGGTTCTTCTTGTGGTTCTATTTGTTCAGCCTCTAGCTTCCCTTTTGTTGATCTTGTGCTTCTTAACGTTTCCTGTGGTGACTTCAGTTGACTTAAATCATTTAATAATATTGCATGTCCTTGGCTGCGGGTAACTCGCTCCCCAGTTTTTCTTGGTGTCGGCTTCATCTTTACTTTCTGGAGCTTTTTTCCCACGTATACCGTTGGTGTTGCCCATTCACAATACTCAACTTTTTTAAGTACACTGGTTTTCTCTAATCTGTCCAATTCTTTATCAATCAGTTCAATTGAGGCAAACGGCACATTCCTTTTCTTTTTGAATACCGCCTGAGCGTTTTCTTTTAGCTGGAATTTTGCCTCCATTTTGGTACACATTCCCAACCCTGGAGAAAAAACAGTAGGAAATGTTTCCTTAAGTTTCTTTACTAATTTTTGGGCTTCAGTGTTTAAACTTTCTACCTTGTAACAAAAAGAATTTATCGGTAGATCCCATAATTGAAATTCTGTTATCCAATTCATACCAAGTAAGTTTGTGGTATTGTCTATGACAAATAGTTTAGCTTTTCACATTTTTTTACTTAACGTGACATTTGTAACAAATTCCCCAATAAATTGTATTTTTTCTCTCGTCACTGACCTCGCGATTTTCTTTGTCTTCATTAAAGTTGGTTTCCTCAACTTCTTCCACATATGCAAATTTATGATAGATAGATCTGAGCCAGTGTCAAGTTGCATTTTTATGTTTTTATTACTTATTTTGACGGTAACAAATTTTCTGGTTATTCCATCTTTTACCTTGTTGGACCAGTGTAGTTCACTGCAAGCAAAACATGGCTTTGGCAGTTTTTGTTTATTTTTCTCTGGTATTTCACTTCTTGCTTGATAATCTGCAATTTTAGAATTCTCTTTGGTAGACTGACTTTCTTCTTTGTAGCGTATTTTCCTTACATGTGAAACGCCAGATTGTTCAATCTTTTTTGAATCTTTCTTTAAGCTAACATATCTTGTGCAATCCTCTACCAACCTCTGCACCGTAATACTTGGATTGCTTTCCAATTTTGCCAGTACCAATTTTCTCAACTCTGCATCTCTTTCTGATACCAGCCCCTGAACAAACATCAAGCACTTAAAATTGTCTGCGCTTAACTCTGCCAGCTTGAATTCTTCACAATGCTTATTCACATTGGCTGCGTACGTTATATAGTCTTGTTCGTCATCTTTCATCAGATTCAAACATTTCCACCTCTTGTGAAACAGAGATGTCTTTTTACTAAATAATTCACTTAATATATTTACCACCTCGGTAAATGTCAACTCGCTAGTTTTTTTTTGGTAAAATGTAGTTTACCAATTTGTTATGCTCAGCAGTTCCTAATTTGCTTAAAAGAAGCCTAACCTTTTTTCTTTCAGACCATGAGTGGCAGTCCTCGTTATACACATCTGTATATTTTTTATAATACTCCTCAAAAGTTTCTCTTCATCTGGACTGTATGTGAATATTTCAATTGAATTCCATATTGTATTCTCTGGGAAAGAATCATTTTGTAGATTTTTCTCTTTCCTCTTCTCAATTATTTCCAGAATTCTGTTTTGAAACTCCCTGTGCATCTGTTCCATTTTTTATTGGAATTGCATTTGTCTATTGAAAGTTTCCCCCTGTAGCTGCATCTGGAATGTTTTTTGTTGCTCTAATATTGTCATCTGTTGTTTTGACTGGAGCTTAAAGAATTCCTGGAATATATTTTTGCATTCCTCCATCTTTGCAAAAAGTTTACACAATGCCTAAATACTGGTGGGGGTCCTACGAATTTGCAATTCTTGACCTATTTGAGCAAACTGTATTATCGAGAAAAAAAAAATTTCTATTCTCAGTTGAGAATGTGACAGATTTTTTCGTCACTAAGTTGACGCCTTGGCTTGCGAAAAACTTTGCCAAGTTTTTTTTCATTTTTTAAGTGTGAATCCGAGACTTTGTTGCTGAATTTATTGTGGCGAGCAAATTTTTTCTTCCTCCGTATGAGTGCGAATTTCGTCACCAAAGTTGTTATGGCGAGCGAATTTTTTTTCTTCCACTGTATGAGTTTGAATCCCTCGTCGCCAAAAGTTGTTGTGGAGTAATTTCACAGTGGAGGCTTGTATTTGTACTAAATCGGTCCTAAAATAGGTTCGACGTACAAAACGTTATGAACTTGATATAATAGGTATCATGCAGAGTAATCTTGTTGTGGTTGCTGATACTTTCGTATTCGACTAACTGTCGTCCGATATTGACTGACCTTTGTTTCCATTACTACTCCTACTTATATTAGGTGGAAGAGTCTATTAGCTATAGAATAGGTGTGTTTCACCATAACACTTTGAGAAATCTATGAAAATCTCAGTGGGAAGTTGTTTTACTTGCATTACTGCATGCCATAAGATCTCTACTCTGAACCGCAATGAACACTACACTCACAAAATAATATTTTCATATCAACACTGGTTAACTAGAGGTCATTCTTTGTCCACTTGGCTGGTCCAGGTATCTGATGTTGTCATGTCTGTGTTAATAAGTACAAACCTTTAAACATAAAATCTGACACTTTTTATAGACAACTTGTAATTTTTGATTTATGTTCAAAATAAATTCCTTTTTCTTATTTTGTTCATCTAAAGATTTTAATAATTTCTGGTTATGTAAAGATGGCTACTTTTATGCAAAAATAAAGAAATTTAACTACTTTACAGACAGACCGATCAAAAACAAAAGATATGATGCAAAAGCTAAATGAAGGCCTTCAACTTCTTGAAGATACATTTGATGGAAACAAGAAACAATTAGAGAAAATTGTTTCAGCTGAGATTCATTCCCGGTAAGAGTTGATTCATTATTGAATTATCTTTATTTTATTCCAATATAACAAATGTAATATCTAGTGCAATGTTTCATTATGTGAACCTTATATGAACTTTATATATATGATTATATGAACTTTATGTCATCAATGTTTTTGTTTTTAACATCTTTTTTAATAAGGTAAAACTTGTGGAGTTTTGTCAAAATTATGGTTGAAAATTTTGGTTTCAATGTCTTGTTGAATCTTCACTTGAACATTATATTCTGTGAATCTGCATAAGATTTAAACCCCTAAAATTGTTATGATGATGTTATAATAATAATCATCAATGAAAAACGAACAACAGAAAAATTAAAAATAGCAGAATTTTCTTTTTTTCCTCCTCCATATTTCATTCTCTGCTGAAGCTTTAATAAAAGTGAAACATGTTAAATTCATAAATGTTTCCTGTCTTATCATTTTGTCAGAAAGATTCTGTACAAAAACTTATTGTATAGACTAAAATGAGAATTGGAAAAAAGCACCTAATATTTGATATAGTGATATTTATTTATAATATATGAATTTTTACCGAGAAGAATTAAAACTTTGTTACTTACAATTGGATTTTCAGTGTTTTTTTTTTTAGAAAAATAATTTGTTGTTTTCCTTTTTTCTACTTTTTATACTTTAACCAGTTTTGCTTAGCTTTTCAAAAAGTTTTTAACTGTTTCTATCTCCACGTGTTGATGCTTATGTTTTGAACAAATGAAAATCAAGGGGCATAACTGGCTACTTATTTCATTTATGGTAAGGGAAATTTGGTAGAATCTATTTATGCAATGAATTAATTATGGGTTTGAACTTGTTTATGAAAATTATTTCCTTATTAATTTACCTTTGTTCAGTGGTTCTGTAGTTACACTGGTAGAATGGGAAGACATTAATCACCTAACCCCAATAGTCAACAGAAGTCAGTTAATAAAGCTGAGGGAGTATTAATATATTCCTAAATTTCAATTCATTCAGATAATTCATGGTCAGATAAAAAGAGTCCTTTGTCTTAAGAAGAAATTTCATTCTTATCTCATTCTCTGTCTCTTCTATAAATGGGAACATGACCAAAACAATAAAAAAACAAAGTTCCATGTGATAACATAAACCTAAACAGAAAAATCATATAGAATGGTATAAACATTTTTATATAAAATTTCAATATAAACATATTTATATCAACATTTTTATATAAAAATTCAAAATAAACATTTTTATATAAACATTTCAAGATAAACAATTTTATATAAACATTTTAATATAAACTTTTTATTTCAATATTTCATTATAATTATTTCAATATAAAAAGCATAATATATATATATATATATATATAGATAATATATTCAATATAATTATTTCAATATAAAGATTTTTATAAAATGAAACAAAAATTCTTTCTTTTTATAGAATTTTTTGAAGGAGGTATAAATTTAAAAAGTGTTTACATCTATTCTAGAAAAAACCACGAGAAGGACACAGTAGATAAGTTTGGAGAAATTCTTGAAAAGATTCAGCTGGTGTCAGTGCATCTTCAGCAAAATCTTGGAGAATTGAAAGGTCAACTTGAAGACTATATCAACAATGTGAGTATAAAATACATGCTTTAAACTATACACCAAATAGTTATTTTAAAATTAGTCATGCTACAATGAAACCGAATAAGTGATTGGCAATTCCTCATCTCAAAACTTGTAGCAATGTATGGCAAGAGTGTGTTGAGGTTGGGGAAAACACCTAACTCTTCCAGTAACTACGACGATAATAGGCACAGAAGGAAAAGAGATGGGTGGTAACAAAAATAACACAGCCTCGGAAACCACAGCAACTTGAGGAACAAAAATGTTCATGGGACTGACTTCACAAGATACCATGTCTTGCCAACTGCTGTCAACATCAGGTTTTCCGCCTACTTTTATTGGCATGAGGCATCTTGCAAAAACCCGGATCTTGACGCCTCCTGAGTAAGATGATAAACTACATCCAACAGCAGGGCCTCTGTTTGGGAGGTTTTGAAGAGCGTGGAACCATGTCTTGGTTTCTGGTGTTCCTAGGTTTGCCCTGGCCTGGGGTGGTAGCACTTATTGGAGTCCCAGCTGTGGGCAAGTGGTTAGCCCCAGAACTGGGGTCAAAACACTGTGTAAGTGTAAAATAGGTTTTAATACTAGCAATGAATTTTTGTAAAAAAAAAAAGCATTTTTCTTTTTCTTTTCTAAATCAGATATTATTGTCACCCACAGACAGACTGTTTCACTGTATCACAGCGCATCAGTGTGGCTAGACATTCAATTGTTTCAAGCCAGCAGAAGTTTTTGTAAATTTTCAGTATCTGACTAATGGAAACCATTCAAAATAGACTGAATCAGCGAGACTTAGTGACATGCTTTAGAAAAGACATAAATAGAACTAAATATTATCTCAAGTGAAAATAGACTGATAACTGTTAGACCGTCTCACATTTTCAAATCAATTAAATTGTTAATGAATCATTTTGTTGATACAATTTAGAAGTACTTTTCATTATAAATCTTGATGTTTGCTGATTTTTAGATCTTAAGATCTTGTGTATTAACGTGAATTAAAATTGACATTCATCACTCATTAAATATGTGTTGTTATGTAAGCAATGAGTCTGTTGAGACTGGGGGGAGGACACCTAACCGATTGCTCTGTCAGCAACTACTGGAGTAATAGACAATGAAGAAAGAGACAAGAGGTAACAAAAATAACACTGCCTTGGAAATCACAGCAACTTGAGGAACAAAAATACCGATGGGACTGACTTCACAAGACACTGTCTTGCCAATTGCTGCCGACTTCTGGTTTTCCTCTTGCTTTTATTGGCATGAGGCATCTTACAAAGACCTGGATCTTGACAAGTTACAGAAAGGCCTATATCTAGATATGCCTAACTGCCTTGCTGCTAACGGGTAAAACCCAGCTGTAACTGGTGTTGACAAATATGCTCACATATGATCTGGGTCCTCTTTTGTGTCTGTACTGACATGTGTTCATGACAAAAATCAAAAACAAAAAGTATCAAACCAGCATCATGATAGCCAAAATGTTAAAACCATCTGAAAGGCTCCTAAAAACACCGAATGATGTCCTTTGAGATGGTAGCATTGTGAATATAATCAAGTTTTTGTCGTTTCAATCCTTGGATCAGGTAGCAAAGTTATATACTCTGGTTCAGCTGGAATAAACAAGAACTGTCATCACAAGGATGAAAATAAAATAATAATCAACATTATATTTGTTATATTCTGTGCTAAGGGAATAAATACTTAACAACAGGTGGATAATAGAAGAAAGGTTTATTGTACACAACCAGTACAATATGAAATATGGTACCGTTATACACACAGGTCAATCTAGTAGTGAGTGCCACTAATTGGAAGGTCGGATGTGCTTGTGTCGTCTCTCTCTCACTCTTCCCTGAGTCTCTCGTAAATAGTTGACTTTATAGGTACTTACTACCTATAGTGTAATCATTCATCGGAGTGTATGGTTATTCCATTACATCAATATTTCAACAAGATATCCTATATCAGCCAAAATAATGAACATCTGAAGATGATCAGAGAGTACTTGACTGAAATGTTGTGTCTATAACATCTCTAATAATTGTAATGAGAACAATAGATTGAATAAATCTAATATGTCAATGTATATTGACAATTCCTCATTTAAAAAATCAAAACAAAATTACATGTGCTGTTTTTCTGAAGACATTAATTAATCCTTATTTGGAAATGGGTTTTCAGATTTATTCTATAGGAAAATTATATTTAATATTTCATAATTTAAGGTTGGCTCTTTTTAAATTATATTTTATTATTTCAATTATTTTTCTGACTCATCTTCTTTTCTTTTATTCAATATGTGTGTCCTTTCTCAGATGTATAATTTGTTTGTCAGGGAGATATAGACTGAAAATTGCTACAATGTTTGGATGCCTCATGATTTAACAGAAAAGAGTTAATGAACTACATCTCTATTTGTAACTGTCTGCTCAAATACAGCAAAAATGCTCCAAGAAAAAGGTGATGAAAAATGGATTGTTTACAACAATGTAGACTGCAAAGAGGCCCTGTAGAAAGCAAAATGAGTCACAAAAAAAGTCAAAAGTATATCTGTATTTGAAGAAGGTTATGCTGGATATCTGGTGGGCATTGGAAGAGCATTATACTTTATGAGTTCCTTCAGCAAAATTAGAAACATTGTGTTCAAACAAGTACTGTTCCTTATTGGTTTGATTAAAGGCAGCAATCAATGAAAAGTGTCCAGAATTGGCTAATCGGAAAGATGTTGTCTTCCATTAGGGTAATACCAGATCTCATGTCTCTTTTTGGACCAAATTGGTAAAGCTTGGCTGGGATGTCTTATTACTGACATTGAATGTTTGGATTACTACTTATTTAGACTCCTACAAAATTCTCATAATTGTGAGGACTTTTGGAATTCTCTGGAAGTCTGTAAATATAAGTCTACTTATGCCAATTCATTACCCAGAAAGACGCCAAGATTGGGGAGAAAATCATGAAGCTGCTTCAAATATGGCTAAAGGTTGTGGAATAAGATGACACATATGTTGTTGAATAAATCTATTTATAAATATATAAATATTGTATTTAAAATTCATTTAAAATATTGTTACACACTTTTGTCCCTGCAAAACAGATTTAATTTGTATTTGTCAGTTCATATCATTTTCAGATAGAAAATGGCAAAGGAAAATAGTAAAGGCAAAACCTGAAGCAAAAAAGTGATTTTCACTATACAATGACAGAATATTGATTTGAGATTAAGCAAAATGATAAGAACTATATGAGGTAAAAGCAAAGAAATGGTCAAATCCCAAACCAAAGAATAATCAGACATGATGGAAAAAGAATAATTGGACATGATGTAAATAAAAGCAGTAAATATTATGAGAAATTATTTACATTTCTTGAATCCAACACTATACATTTGAATTATTTACAATCTTTATGTTGGCTTAATTTCACTTGATCTAATTATTTTTCTTTCTTTTAGATTCAGAAAGATTTGCAAGATAGTGTCCAAAATCAAAATGATGCAGCCACAAGGGCATTGGCTGATCTTGACACCAGGCTGCGAAACGAAAGTGAAAAACTTGCTAATCTAGAGAATTCTGTTGAAGATAAAATTGCTCAGGTAAATAAAACTTTTCTATGATGATGTTTCTTTATGATGTAATCCTTTTTGTATTCATCTTTTTACATATTATGTATCATTGAAGCATCTTAAGTTTGTATTTGAAGAACAGGCAATTTTTGTCAAAAAATCTCAGATGAAGTATTGTCATTATTCAATGATTTATTCAAAAAAGGATGTTTTTTTCATATTTTTATCATGTTTTGGTTGATGCATTTTTTGACTTTCCTCTGGTATGTATGTTTCATTCAATAAGATAAGAGCTCTACTCATAATATTTCTATAACGTCAAATGTGAAAAACTTTTTTCTTAATGAGGCAGTAAAATATACACAGTGATAACAAATGAAGTTGAAGATATTAGCCTGAAATATTTATGCAATAACACTACACCACCTTAAGGAATACCAAAGAACATATTGGCTGAAATGTTGTGATAATAATGCTAATAATAATAATAAGAAGAAGAAGAATAAAATACAAAAAAATTGTTCTCATGAGTACAGCCCACACCGTATGAAGGGCTTTATCTATGTTTAAATGTATGTGTTTTTTTTCTTTTATTATAATTGGTCAGTGGGAAATGTTGTGATGCCATTTCTGACCTTAGGTCTCTGGACGGGACCCAGAAAGAAATGTGTATACACCAGAAATCAAAGGAAATAAAATAATAATAATAGTGATAATAACAATAATAAGATACAAGTCACTGAATGGCAAATTGAATCACATATTCTATACTTATGATCTTAAGTTTGCTAAGGGTGACAACCTGGAGAAAAACCTACTCACCATTGTCAAAACCTTCAGCAAAGACATTAGGATGGAATTTGGAATTGACAAATGTGCCAAAGCCACCTTCAAAGGTGGTAAACTAACAAAAAAACTACGAATTTAGAAGTTGATATAAACAATAAGATTAAGGAACTAGACCAAGATGGTATGTACAAATACTTAGGAATTAATGAATGAGACAGAATACAACATTCAACTATGAAGAAAAAGATTCAAAAAGAATATTATAGGAGAGTGTGTTTGATACTAGAAATCTTAATGGGGTCAATAAAATAAAGGCTATCAATACCATAGCTATACCTGTAATAACATACAGCTTCAACATTATTAAATGGAAGTTGAATGACATTAAATGATTGGATGTCAAGACCAGAAAAATGCTTACCCAAATGAGGATGCACCACCTGAAATCAGAGGTTGAAAGGCTGTACGTACCAAGAGGCTGAGGTCTAATCTAACTTGAACTAACTCTAAAAACTACAACAACTGGATTGGAAGCCTACTTTAAAAAAACCAATGACTCTCTCCTACAAATAGTAAATCATCAAATCCACTCCATCAACAAAGAAGCTGCACTCTTCAAGAAACAGTTTAATATACCTGAAACCCTACCAATCAAAAACAAAGTGAATACCATCTATGCCAAACAAGTAAAATAGAAAGCAAAACAACTTGCCCAAATGAAATTACAAAAAAATGGGAGGACAAGACATTTTATGTCAAATACCGAAAAAGAAAGAAAGAAGCAGATGTAAATCAACAGAAAACACATCAGTGGCTGAGGAGCACTGGGTTGAAAGCTAAGACAGAAGGCCTAATTATTGCAGCTCAGGACCAAAGCCTTTCAACCAGATCCTATCACTGTCACATAATCAAGGATGGAACTAACCTGAAATGCAGGATCTGCAGAAAATGTGATGAAACTGTTGACCATATTATTTTAGGCTATCTGGAACTAGCAAAAAAATGAATATACCCACAGACATAACAAGGTAGTGACATATGTGCACTGGAAGATATGCAAGAAGCACAAAATCGAAACCACTGAGAGATGGTATGTACACCAACCAGACACAGTTACACAAAATAATGATGTAACTATCCTATGGGACATGCCAATTCAAACTGACAGGGAAATAAAAGCCAACAGAAATTCAGGAAGTGTATGCTTATTGACATAGCAATACCATCTGAAAGAAACACATCCATGAAAACTATCGAGAAATTGTCCAAATACAAGGATGTGAAGATCGAGATTACCAGGATGTGGGGAATGAAGAGTGAGACTGTATCAATAGTAATTGGAGCACTGAAAATGAATGGACAATTTTATAGTGTCCCAGGTAACATCAACATAAAAGTTGCCCAGAAGATCGCCCTACTAGGAATATCTCATATACTAAGAAAAGTGCAATCAATTAAATGACAATTCTGCTATAGGGCCTAAGAACCCATAGTTTGGACCAGACTCTGCGGGATACAAAGCAGGAAACACAAAATACACAAATGATAATAATGATATTAATAATAATAATAATAAAAATTGCAAACAAAAAAATAACCTCCTTATTGATATGTATCTTTGAAGATCTTCAAAAAGCAATCAAAATACAAGGACTTTGAAATCAAAATCTCAAAAATGTGGCACATGGGAACATCAACAATCCTTGTAGTTGGAGTCCTTGGATTGGTTGGAAAAAGATTCCAGTAGACTCATACAAGGAATTCCTGAAAGCTCATGCCTTAAAGAAATACAATAAAATTGTTCTCATGGGTACAGCCCACACCTTATGAAGGGCATTATCTATGTAAAATATGTGTTGTTGTCCATTTTTTTTTTTTTAATTGCTCAGTGGAAAATGTCATGATGCCATTTCTAATCTTAGGTCTCTGGGCTGGACATGGAAAGAAATGTGTACACACCAGAAATAAACAGAAATAAAACAATAATAATAATAATTTGAAGATACCAGTCTGAAAGGTGGCTGTGGGTATAACATTTATTGGCAGAGAAAATAAAATTGGTAAAGCACATTTAGAAAATACAAAAAATGCATTTAGAGAATGCAAAAACAACTGTTTGTATTCTCTCTATGCTAATGTCTCATAAAAAGACTTGAATTCACTTCAGCCCTAATCATGTGCACTTAGCAACGAAATTAGAGTTTTTTAATGATATAAAGGCAACCTAATTAAGAGAAGGTTACACTGACAGTGAAAAAAATCATGAATCTCTAGTCTGGATAAAAAGGAGAGGGACTGGTGTTGGGCTGGAAATTCTACCCTATAAGAAAAAAAAGCTCCACTCTATAAGAAAATGATTCCACCCAATGAGAAAACAATTCCACTTAATAAGAAAATAACTCTACTCAATGTGAAAAAACTCATCCTATAAGAAAATGATTCCATCTTATGAGAACAAAAAAAAACTCTACCTTATAAAGAAACAACTCTACCCTAAAATAAAAGAAAATAAATGCTGCCCTATAAGTAAACAAATCCACTCTCTAAGAAAATGTCTAACTATTGAAACTGAAGGTAAAGTCCTGTGTCCCATTGTGAGTTTCAAAAGATTAATCTTTTGGATATGGTGTGGCATTAGTGCATCTACAACTTTTATTCAAAGAACAAAGAAGATTTAGAATTGTGAAACATCAACTCCCATATTTAAATTTTCCCAGAGAGGAAACTTATTGCCAATTTGATGAAAATGAATAAGATTGAGGTTACAACATTAACAAACAATTCATTTGACAAAATTATTTGAAATTTACCATCAGAGATTCAAAGTTAATTTCTGCTTGTGCATTTATGAAATGTTAAAATGAACAAAACAAAGTAGAATCATTATCTGCTTAGGTGTAGAAAAGCAGTCATTTGATTAAATAAATGTATGTGTCTTACATGCATGTGTATACATGTTTTGTAGCAGTAGTAGGAGAAACTAACCTTGTATGAAATAGATATTTTTTAAGTGCATCTCATCTGGAGTGAGAAATAAAAAACATGATTAACTGATATCAAACCTGGCCTGAAAGACTGAAAGACAGTGTGGGGTTGTATATTCATTTTAGAAGAAATTTGGGAATTCTAAAAATGTGAAATGGCAAAATTGAGTTAAGTCTGTTGAAGTGCATGTCTTCAATATGAATACCTACCTTTTCCTCTTACTTAGTGTCATGAGATTCCAACAGTCTTACTACATGAAATGTTGCTTGCTGTGGTTTCTGTAACAAGTAGTTTTTGTTTTCTATGTTTTTTGTTTTGTTTTCACACCCATCGCTAACCAGTCTGACACTGATTTCCAATCAAGGCTAGAGAGAGCCCAGTCAGTCCTGCAGTTTAACCCATATTTGGAGGAAGATGAAATGGGTTCATATCTTTTTGTGTTAAGGTGAATGCAACAAACTTGGCTGGAACTTGAAGTTGTTATGCCAGTTCCACTTTAAATGTCAGCAAATACTATGTTATGCACATATCCATCCTGAATTGCTTACTGAATACTGTGATTATGGCAGGAATCTATTCAGTAATTTGTGTTTAATCCTGAAAAATGATTATTTTGCTGTTTGTTGATTGGACAGTCATATTTCCTTTGATTGGTTAGAAATTTACACAGATTTTGTGCATGAACTAAGAATAGGATCAAACTGTTCTTTACATTCCATTCATCTTTATTAAACAAAGGAAAAAAGATTATATTGTTCTTATGATTTCCTGTTTGTTCTTTTTCTAATCTATTTCATTTTTAAAATAACAGTAATAAATTCTCCCCACTGACAGTTTAATCATAGAGTGTGTATTCTTCTTATGTGCAGTAAATATTGAAAATATAATTTGTTGCTGTCAAACAGATATTAAATAATAAGAAAAAAGGCACAGAATTTATCCGTTTTACTACAGGAAGTTATCAAAATGAAAGGAATATATAACTGCTTATCTATAAATTTGGTCAGTGAAACATTCACTTTTTATCTGAGGTGAGAAAAAGAAATTAATTTTGTTTGCACTTTCATACCTGGGCAGAGTAAGAATTGTCTGTGAAAAAAGAGACAAGCTGTGGGTATTTATTTTATAAAATATATCATTTATATATACAGATATACTTACTGAATGGCATTACACATTATGGGTGAATATTTTATTATGGAAAGCAGTAAATGTTTATGTAGGTTGATATTATCTTAATATGACTCTTTCTTATGTGATCCCTTAAGAAAACACTGAACCATTTTGTTAACAAAAAATATGGAAGATATTTCCATGGATGTTTAAAAAAATTAAAACCCTTTGAAATAACAAATGATGTCACAAAAATAATGTTGTTAATGATGTTCATGGAATAAGAGTTACAAAGATATACACAAGGATCAATTCCTTAACAAGTTTTGTATCAGAAATGTCTTTTCTGTTAGTTGTTTACAAAGATTAGTTTATGAACCAAGATGAGATTGGTAAGACTCTGTTGCACCAGCCTTCAAAGTTAGGTTTACATGAAAATTAATATTTGAAATGAGGGTAGGAAGATTCCCTGATATATTTCAAATGTAAGGAAACCTGCCTACTTTGAAAATTGGTATTTGCATTTTGGGGGTTTGCCAGGGTAATAGACACAATTACATTAACCACAAGGCAGACCCCACTTTTTTTTTCTATTTTTATGAGACAAGATTAAGAAAAATGTAATCTTGTTTTAATGTTTATTAGCCCTTTTAGATGGTCTTTTTAATAAATGGATATTCTGAGGTTGTTTAATCACTGCTTACTGTTTAATCAATTCATTGTTTCATTATCTGTGTCAGTAGGAGATATGCAAAAAGAAGTGGTCAATGGTAATGCCAATAATATCCATTTCCTTATAAGGAAACATTTGGTATTCATTAACATGTGAGTAACAAAAACTTTTAGGGAAAATGGAACAAAAAAAAGATGCTTATACTTAGAATTAGAAAGAGACAGTTAAAATTTCTAGATCACATAATGAGGAAAGAGGGCTTGGTGAATTTGACATTTACAGGATATATTGAAAAGGTACAGATGAAAACAGTGCATAACCCCTGCCTAATGAACTTGTGTAAATGGATGGCAGAACAGGGATTAGGATCTTAATAAGAGTTACAAAGGATAAGAAAGTTGTGGAGAGCCATGATCACCCATGTCCTGAAGGAACATGGCATATAGAAGAAGAAATAGTGAGACAAGGTTGCATGACTAATACATGTATAAAATCCTATGGTGTTTAATATAGAGGGTGATTGAAAAGTAACTCCCTATTTTATGTATGATGGACTCTTCCATCTTGTAAAAATTATAGTTAGATGGGTGAGTCCATCATATATAAAATACAATCACCCTTTATATTAAGATGCTAGTGCTTGATAGTTTGGGTCACTGGCATATAAATGCAGTGCAATGTCAGCTTTAAGAAGAAATATGTATGGAAGGACATTGAAGCAATCAATGGGTCAACATTTACAAAAAAGACAAACTCTCAGAATTATTCACATAATAATTGTTTTGATTCATAAGTAATTTGGATAAGAAGAGAAAAGTAAAAATACAAGACAAGAATGTTGATTTAATTTTTGTAGAAAAATCTTTTGAATTTCTATAATGATAATTTGTTTACTTATATACAAACATAAACACACATACTAACACACTAATAAACATACTCAAATACACACATGCAAACACTAATATCCATACTTCCTACATACTAATATATAATAGCCATCAAATATTAACCCCATTTTTGCACACACTTACACATACACTCTAGGGTTAACTATTATCTTTCCCATATATCCTCATAAACTGTGCCGCTTACTCTGTGACCCTCTGACTTGAATGTCTCTTGGGTCTTCTACAGGGGGAACATCAACATAAAAAACACTCACCTACACATACCTACAAAAAACACACAGACACCCACATGCACATACACACATACATGCAGACACATAGCTGTTATTCAGAAGTTTATTCTTTAAATAAAATAACCAACTTTCTTTTTAAACTTCAGATGATGAAAGATGTACAAAATCCACAGGTAAGAATCCCAGTTTTAATTTTCAACAGCCTCTGGATGTATAACAATTGTGTATGTGTCTCTCTCTCTCTCTGTCTTTCTCTCTCTACTGTTCTCTACAGCATCCCTTTCTCTAGAAATTGTTTGTTTTTGTTCTCTCTCTCTCTCTCACTATATATATATATATATATATATATATATATAATCATTCTTTCTTTGTTTGTAATCAGCTGCTTCCCTCTCTCTAGAGCAGTGGCTCCTATTTTTTTTCTGGGATGCAATTTTGGAATGGAAATTTGCTCATGCCTCACCAAATTTTCTGTGATAAAAAATACATTTAAAAAACCCCCCAAAAAACAACCACTAATAGTGTGTTAAATAGAATATATAACACAAATAACTTATAATCTGATTAAAGTACACAAATTTAATGAAAGTTATGGACTTGTTTTGATGAGCAATCTCCTTTTATATTAGGTCTAATTTGAGATAAATAAATTCCCATCTCCCCATCAACACAAAGAAGCCTTTCCCATTTTTGGTATTTGATATTTGTCAGAACTGAAAATCCAGAACTGAAAAGGTGCAAACAGCCCTCCAGCAAAGACAGTCCAGTGAGAGGGTTAAAGGGAGATAACTGCAGATTCAAAGTCAGAACATTATTATTGATAACTCTCTCCTCCAATTTGCAGATCCTAGTTACTGTATTCTTAATACTTGGTATAATGCAAAAATATCACAATGATAAAATGTGTCAATGATTATTTTTAACTATTTGTACTGGGACTCATGCATGCAATTACAAGTAATCCATAATAATATTTTAAATTTTAAAATCAGTTTTTTTTTTTGCATATGAATATTTTGAAACTGTTTCTAAATTTTTGATTGTCTTTCAATCATTCCGCCTCACCCTGCTATCCTCTTCCGCTGCACCTATGAGTCATGCCTCACCATTTGGGAACCACTGCTCTAGAGATACTTTGTCTCTCACACTCTCTATAACCTCTCTCTCTATATAAATAGCTTTTCTCTCTGTTCTCACCTTTCTCTATACAGCATCTTCTTCTCTAGGTTCTTTCTCTACTTTCCATTCCTTATTCATCCCACGTATAATCGTCTTTCTTTTCTCATTATATTTAACATTTCTTAAGAAGAAACTGATGCAGGTGAACATAATGAACTGATTTGCTTTTGAAAGCAATAATTGAAACCAAATTCAAAATGCTTTGTTAAAAATCTTAATTAAGAATGTAAATTTCATAGAAAGGAGATCACTTTTTACATTATTCGGACTATTGTCCTCATCTTTGTCGCCATATTTATTACAACATTTTGGCCATTGTATGCTCCGGCCTTCTTCAGGTGGTTGGAATGTCGAAATGAATCCTTTATTTCGCTCACTGGAGTAGACTGTTCTAGTTCCACATGCCATGTCTAATGGATGTCGATTATCAGTTATTTCCTGTTAATTCCCCCTTTATCCACTGTGCCATGTGTCCTTGGGAACACATGGCACAGTGGATAAAGGCAATAGTTAGATCCAGTGACAGGACCCAAAGAGTGTGAATTCAATACCCGGTTAAGACAGTGGAGAACTTAGAGAGGGGAATTAACAGGAGATAACTGATAACTGACATCCATTAGACATGGCACGTGGAACTAGAATAGTCTACCCCAGTGAGCAAAATAAAGGGTTCAGTTTGATGTTCCAACCACTTGAAGAAGGCCAGAGCATACAATGACCAAAATGTTGTAATAAATATGGTGACAAAGATGAGGACAATAGTTTGAATAATGTAAATAATGTACATAATACCTCATTTCAGAAATATGGACAGATACTGAAAGGAGATCAATATAAAAGTTACTGACAAAGTTGTTAAATTGAAAATTAATAGCTATTAAGCCCAGTAAAAAAAAAAAATGAAACAAGAAATAAAAACAAATAAAAGAGAAACATTAAGTTTGATTTTACTATTTATAACTTTCTCAGAGAAAAACTATTCTGTTTTTATTTCATCACATCTTGTTAGTCTTTATATAAGTGAATACATATTACTGTTTAATGAAACAGAGATACCTACAAGGTTTATTACTGGTTATATGCCTTTATATATATGTACCCATATATCAAATATGTTTGGATATTCTGACTGTATTAAAAAGCAGAAAAATATATTGTACTATGATTGGTCGACAATGTGCTTCCTTCATGAAAATCTTACTAATTACAGAATCCTGATTTTTGACACATTTTCCTCACAGACTAAAGTTTGTGCCAATCTACCAGTTGAAATAAAATGACAAAAATAAAAGACAATATTGAGAATTGTGCTTCAATGCAACTTACCAGTGATACATCATTGAATGTTTTATTTGATAAAATTAACAAAGATATTCTTTGTTGCTATGAATTCCAATTAAATTTTATTTGAATTACATGAAGCAAAAATTATGTGAAAATTATTTGTTTTTTTCTGTTAAAAAACAATTAACTGAAGAAAAAAATCCTGTAAAGATGCTTGAAAATGTTATAAGAAATTCTGTTTTTTTTTTTAAATAATAATACTAAATATATTAAATACTAAAGTTGATGTTCTATTTTCCACTTTACTAATTTAGTCTCCAAACTCAAAATACCAAAAATGATATCCTGTTATTGTGAAGTAAGTGGCCATGTTTAAATGTTAATGGCAGAAGTGACAAAAAGAATTGACAAAGTTTGTAATAAACAAGAAAAAACAGGACAGGCCAAATGATAATATAAAGCAAGCAAACAATATATGCAAAGCAAATTAACAGTAATAAGATGAAGCAATGGTAATATGGCAAATAGTTCACAAACAAAGAATTGAGATTGACACATAAGAGTGAGTTTGGATTAACAGATACAACATTCTGATTTCAAGACAATACAGACCAGGACTATGTCAGATGAAACTGAGAACCAGCCTATTTTATTGGCTAGGAAGAAATCCCATCATGCACTTGTGTGGTTTTGCCTATGAATTGGGGAGGGGAAAGTATTTTGCTGTCATTCTCACTTGTATTGGTACTAACAATACATATGCACACACACACACACACACATATATAAATGGACACTGATGATGTAGAGTGAATGGCTATGGTTAAATGTAAATAAATGACAGAACTGTCCAACAAACAGAATTGACAAAGTTAACAAGAAAAAGAAAAGAAAAAAGCAGAGCAAAAAATAATGTAAATCAATCAAATAATATATTGAAGGCAAATTAACAGTAATAAGGCAAAGCAACAGTAATATGGCAAAAAGTACACAAACTAAAAATTGGAGTTCACACACAAGAGTGAATTTGAATTAACGAATGTAATGTGCTGACTTCAAGACAAGACAGACTGGGACTGAGTCAGATGAAACTGAGAACCGGTCTATCTCATTGGCTAGGAAGAAAATCCCAGCATGCATTTGTGGTTTTACCTATAAACTGCGGAGGGGAAAGTGTTTTGCATTCATTCCTATTATGGGACTGGAACCAACAGTTATATTTTAACTTTTATTAAAAACTAGCAGTAGAGCCCAGCGTCGCCCGGGGATGTAACAGTAAGAGATAGATCAAGTATTGACCATCATAAAGACTGAAAAATAAAATTGACAAAGATTATTGTTTAAGGTTGACAGACACGCATGTCTTAATTAGTTTTTTTTTTTTTTTTTTTTTTTTTTTAGTCAAACCCAAACTCAAACAAAAGCATTGTTTTCAATCGTTATGAGTCTACCGATTGAATAGAATTTTATTATAAACAATTGTCTTGTAAATGGAATTTTTAAAGCATTCTGAATGTAAAGATGAAGAGAAAAGTGTGCAAGACAATAAGAAACACTACCTGCCAAAAAAAAGTGAAGTTTTGTTGAAATCAGTTGAAAAATGTAGGAAATCTGATCTCATATATAAATGAACACACACACACACACACACAAACAAACTGGGTTTTATAATAAGTATAACTTGATATGAGTTGTCCCCCCTTTCCTTCTCGCGAAAGCAATGCCTCTTAATTGTGTTTTCAAATTGACTTTGAGCAAAAACAATTGTGTTTTTCCAATTTTTGGCGCTGTCAGAACCACCGCAAGGTAATTTTATGTAGTCCTGTGAAGTTTTGTTGAAATCGGTTGAAAAATGTAGGAAATCCGATCTAATATATAAACGAACAGACACACACACGCACAACCTGGGTTTTATAATAAGTATGATTTTGATATTAAAATTTTGAGAGGGTATATTGAAATTTGTACATTTTTAATATTTTTTATTTAATTATTGACCAATTCAATTATCAAATTACAATTAAATAAATTCAATGATTTATGAAAATAGAAGTTATGTGTGAAATATAAATTTTTAATCTGAAAATGCTTGTATTTATTTGAATTCATTATCATATAATAAAGGCCAATTCTCTGTCCACTTAAAAGATTGATGCTGCACAATCTTTCATCCTCCAGTTTCCTTCATTTGAATTTATGCCAGAATAAACTAAACTTTGTAAATGGTTTTAAAGATGAATATTTTAAAATTGTTGTATTTCCATTCCATAATAAAAATTGTGAAATGTAATTTTTTCTCATAAAAAATATTTCTGATTATGCAAAATAAATGAAATATATTTTTAGACAATGAATCAGTTAAAGCAACATTAATAAAGATAATGGAAATTTGATTTTTATCTTTGGAAATGAATCACTTATTTAACATTTAATTTTTATTTCTTTTTTGTTTTGTTTTTTATTTAGAAGCAAAAATTCTTTTGTTTATTTCCCCAGACCATTCTTTTTGTTTGAAAACAAAATCTTGGCAAAAATGCACAGAAAGTTTATTATTTGTTTTCACTAACAGGATTTGAAGAAATTAACTGATGAAATTCAGCTTCAAATTGATGCAATCAATAAATCTCATGAAGACATCAACAATGAATTAAAAGACTATAAAAACAGAATGGAACAGTTTCCAAATGATGTAAGTAAAATAATAAGTTCTTTAAAACTCTGAGATGATGTATTTTCTTCTGCTTCATCATCATCATCTCTACACCTTCATCATCATCATTTTAACTTCATCATTTTTATGATGTCAACAAACACTTGTTACCACTTTTGTAATATCAATGAGTACATGTTGTCACTTTTGTAATGCACGTTGTAGCAGATACAACTATATTAACACTGTTGAACAATACTGGTGTCAGACGTCTTCAGATAACACTTGCATTAATAGTACTTGCTCGATAATACTCTCACAAAAAGTAACCACTGAATAGTGATCCATATAGTGATCAGTAGGAAGAAATAGTATAGAGGATAGTATAGAGAATCACAGCTCGTATAGTAATAGAGGATAGAATAGAAACAGTGATCTGTTAGATGTCATGCTAATTCTCATATATATATTTCCTTTACCATCACATGATCTACTTATAAGAAATGGAATCACCTGTGTTTGCTCACTGGTGATCTGTGTTCAAACCCAAGTGTCAGCAGCAACACTTTATTCCTGTATAACAATTATCGTGATCTCTGCACCTTCATCATCATTTTAACTTCATCATCATCATCTCTGCACCTTCATCATTCTCAACATCATTTTAACTTCATCATCATCATCTCTGCACCTTCATCATTCTCAACATCATTTTAACTTCATTATCATCATCATCATTTTAACATCAAGATCATCTCTGCACCATCAACATGATCATAATCAGCTTTATGTGAAAAAAAAAAAAACAGTAAAAAATAAACACATCCCTAGAACATGAAAAAATATTTTTGCCCATCAAAGAAGTGCTTAACACTACTTCTATTTCCTGTGTCCCTTCAGGATGTGGGCAGTCATGGCTCTCCACATATTCCTGTACTTTGTAGCTCTTAGTAAAGTTTGTATTTTCACTATCTTTCCTAATCTCTGTTCTAGCAACCATTTACACAAGCTCATTAGGTTTGGTTATTTCAGTGTTTTCTTCTCTCTCCATCTTGCCTTCAATATATCCTGTGAGTGTCAAATTTTCTAAACCCTCTTTCCTTATTATGTGTCCCAGAAATTCCAACTATCTCTTTCTGATGTTAAGTATAAGAATCTTTTTTGTTTGCATTTTCTCTAAAACTTCATCATTAGTCACATGTTTAGTCCATGATATTCTCAGCATCCTTCTGGAGAATCAGATTTCTGTTGTCGCTAGTCTCTTCTTCATTTCTGAGGAAATTTCCAGCATTCACTGTCATATAGCAGAACCAATATTACAGAGCAGTCCAGTACTCTTTTCTTTCTTTCTAACAAAATTTTCCTGTTTCTTAATACTTTGCTTAGCTTTTGGAAGACATCTTTTGCTATCCCAATGTACACTTTGGATTTCTGCCACATTTTCTGTCCTCTGTTTAAACATTGCCCAGATATTTAAATGGTTGTAATTCGCATGTTGGGTTATTCCTTTTGATGGCAACCATGCATTTTGTCTTCTTGCAATTGATGTTTAGAACTTTCTTCTTACTTTCCTTGACTATCTTCTCTGTTTTTATGTTGTATCCTGAATTTGAAATCTGTCATGCCTCTTACATTTTCTACACGAATCTGATGTTGACCACTTGTCAACCCAAAATAGACTGCGTAAATACATTTTCTGCACTTCAGCCCCACGCATACATCTGCTTTAAACAAAACAAAATAAACAATATATTATGACCAGTCAGAGCCATTTCCTCTCAAAAACCAAAACCTTAATTTTGTGCTGATTGACAGATATATATATATATATATATATATATATATATATATATATTCAAATTCAGACTGGCACACTGTGAGAGAAATGCCACTGATGACGTCGACAGCCATCACCAATGTTCATTTCAATTCTAATTTCACCATTCTTTTCTCTCCCTGTTACCTTAGCAATAGCAACAGATATATATATAATTATTTATTTAAAAATTATAACATAAATATGTTATAAAATTAATATAAAATATGTTATTGGAATTTATTCCATGTACATCAAACATATACTTGGGTATATATATATATAGGAGTAATGGATAGCAGTTTGGATTGAGGAATTGGAAAGCTGAGTTTGAATTCCAGTCAAATCCATTAATATCCATTCTGTCCCAGTATCCTTGGTAAAGGTATGAATCCTTCTCTTCTCCCTCCAGCTATGGGTAAATAGCAGGACAGACTGGGTTCTATAGCCTTGAATGGAAACTGGTCTAGGAGAAGGACAACTCTGAATTCAAAACCTGCAGAGGGTTGTTTGGGGACCTTGTGACACATAGTGCATCAGGTCTCTATATTCGGCCCTTCAAAAAGTGTGGATGGTTCTTCACAAAACCTTCACCACCATAATCAAATCTCATATGCTGGTGTTGGGCTGTCAGTTCCTAGGAACTAAGCTGCTTCACCCTCATATAATGAATTTGATGGGAGTGTTGAGTATATATATATATATATATATATATATATATATAGATAAACATTGCTTTGTTTTAAAATTTGTTGGCTTTCATTTTATTTTATTACGGTGATTGGTTTGAAAATCCTTACAAGGAATTTTAACTTGTAAGGTGAAATGATCATTACAATGAGGTAATTTTAAATTTTATGTATGTAATTCATATACATATATATATATATATATATATATATATATATATATATATATATATATATATATATATACTAATTATTGATACGTGCGTTGAACTCACACACTTTGATTTCCTTTTGTCACTCCCTCAATTCCAGGTAGGTCTTGTCCAGTCCAGCAGCACCTCCATATATTGAAGTCTTTTGTTAACTAGCAAGATTCTATCCATTACCAGTTTAATAGGCCTGTTATGTAGTGTACAGCATCTGGCATTTGCCAACAGTCACCCATCTGTGTAATAACCAAGTTCAACATTGCTTAACTTCAGTGATCAGATGATTCAACATAATATAGTTGTAAGCTTCCTTTGTCAGAAAGTGCAAATTTAATAAAGCAAGAATATAAAAATAGGATCACCACAAATTGAAATATATAGATATTTTGATCTCAGTTTGGAATGTATTTCCATTTAAACCGTTTTTTTAACCCTTTGAGCCGTGTGTTCCTGAACAATTTTAAACCTTCTGCCTGAGCTCCTGAGTCAAAATTCGCAAATAATTGGTATGTAATGTTTCACAGTAGATATAAAAATAGTTACAAGTCTTTACCCACTGTTCAACTGGTAGCTGAGCATTAAGTCATTTTTCTCTACCACTGGTAAAGCAGTGATCAGAGCTCAAACGGTTAAATCTGAGCCAAACAAATGTAAAAATGATGTGTAAAATTCAAGTGGCATTCGCAAAATAACACTGATGAAATTTCTCTAAACTTATAACTTTGTTAAGCTAAACAACATCAACGGCTTTTGAATGAATTGTTCTAAAAATGTACACTTTTATAATTCTGCTTAAATTTTTATACTTATGATGAAATAAATTGAGATTTTATAAACTGTATTCCTTGGCTACAAAATAAAACAAAATTTTGCTGTGTAAAACTTTACCAATTCTTCTTCAAACAAGTTTTTCATTTTTTCCAGTTGTATTCACTTGAGGAAAGGTTGAAACTTCTCAAATCTGAAGTGGAAAGTCGAGTCAGTACAGAAGCGCAAATAAGGTAAAATGTTTTTATTAAAATATTTTGGCTATTGTGACCTCTAGTATTCATTGTCATCTGTTGTATTTGGTAATATCAGACCTTGATTTAAAAGTGTCATGTTTCTTCTGTCAAAGCTATCAAGTCTGATAACTCTGTATTCCCAGCATTATCTATCTGCCCTTCCATAGAACTTCTGTATATCTGACCCATATGTTGAATTATTGTAAAAAATGATGTAACAGGAGAGAGGAAACACATGTCATGTCAGGAAGGAAGGGTTGAAATTGCAGAAAAGATTGGCTGTTAAAATATTGAGATAAAACATCAAAAATGAGGAAATTCATCAGATTGAAACAACTGTTATAATTAAAGAAATGTGTTGAATGGAATGCAATCTTCATCTGATCATTGTGTTCAAGTATGAAACAAACTGCTGCTGCCCCTGGATCTTGGCCTCAGTGTCCACTTTTATTTATTTATTTACACACACACACACATATATATATATATATATATATATATATATATATATATATATATATATATATATGTCATCCACAGACAGACTGTTTTGCTGTATCACAGCTCATCAGTGTGGCTAGACATCCGGTTGCCTCTAGCTAGGATCGAAACCTGACTGAATTGGCATTAGTCGGGGATTCTACCACTAAGCCATTGGTGCATGGTAGAGATGAAGGTGAATTTAAGTGTATTTATTTTTAGATAAACACACAGTGACTGAGAGAACTCAATTCGATTTACCAAAGAGTCATGCATTAATAGGCGTAATAGTGACTGTTTACAAACCCACACTTCCTCCCCAGAGAGCTCAACTGAAATAAATTTTTCAGGAACATGTGTATGATAAAAAATATACATACATACACATGCAAAAAATTTAATGTATATATAAATATATATCTTCCACAAGCGTAATAAATACCGTGCTCAATATTATGTGAGAGATCTGTTATTATATACATCATCCAACGTCAAAAGCACAACTTGAAGTTTCATGATTGCAGCAACTGCATGTAACTCTGAGTTGTGCTATTGACATTGTTGGTTATTATATATATATATATATATATATATATATATATATATATATATATATGAGTGTGTGTGTGTGTGTGCACTTTATTGTCGATATAAATTACCATGTTTTGAGGATGATGACAATAAACATTGAATTAGCAAAATCAATCACACATTTTTTGTTTATTTCTTTCACCATTCTTCTGATTACTGTATCTTTTATGTTTGACAAAATATGAATTGGTGTCTATTCATGGAGGCATGGTGGAGTAATGGATAGCGGCTCAGATTGAGGAATCGGAAAGCTGAGTTCGAATTCCAGTCGAATCCATTATATTCACTAACGTGCTAATACCCTTGGGTAAGGTATGAATCCTCTTCTCCCCACCAGTTATGGGTAAATAGCAGGACAGATCGAGTTTTATAGCTTTGGATGGCAACTGGTCCAGCACAGAAAGAAATGGCAACCTACTAAGGGAAAAAATCTGCCTTGTCAGTCATGTATCGAAAGATACATGATTGCATAAGCGTGTATCATGCATTGCACATAAATGACTGACTGTTTATTGATTATCTTAATTACTGCTTTTCTCTCATTGCATATTGACAATTTGTAAATTCTCCGGCTTGACTTGAAGAAAATCCAGTTGTTTCATTTCTTTTTTAAGATAATTGTAAGATCACGTGGCTTTGTAAGGAAAAGTAGAATTGTCAATTTTGATTCTATTTGACATTGATTCATTCTGTTTTGGACTGAAACCTTTTCAAAATATGACAATTTCCATTTTCTTGGAGTATGAGGCAGTTTTTTTTCTTTTAATTTTTTACAATTAAAAGCTAATTATCAATGAGTATATTAAAAGCAGGACATTAATGGTAAATTAAAAATTATAGTTTTACACTGAATTGTTCCAAATGGTAATCATTACTATAAAAGATATTTTCACATAATAGAAAAGATTTTGGCTCCCTTCCCCACCCACACAAAGAACCATAACATTTTTTATGCTAAATCTTCCCCTCACATACAAAAAGTATCCATACAAAATTTCAAGGTTCTACAGAAAGTGGTTTGGCTGTATAGAGTGAACAGGCAAATTTTTTTGTGTATTTGTGTAGCAATCCGTATTTTATACAAGTTTCATTAAAGACAACTGACAAGGTACTGTGATTAAGCTTTTTATTTAATTTTTCTTGTGTTCATACAAATGTTTTCTTTTCTGGACACAAAGTGCGTAGAAACCATCTAAAAGTTCTGCATATCTGAGCACTTTTGGCTATTCTTTTAGCCATTATCAAGGACAATTTTTATTTTTAACTGAATTTGTGCATGTTTTGTGTATGTGTCTGAAGTTATATGAATATTTTATTTTCCAAGCATGGTCAGTACATTATCTTAAATGAGTCCTAATTGAGCTATGGTTGAGTAGGTGTAATGTGAGACATCTAGATAGGCATGTAGTAGTATGACCAATATAATTATTTATGAATTTGGCTTGATCAAGAACACAGTTCCTTAAGGGGTATTTGAACTTGTAAATATTGACTCTCTGTACTTTTGATTTTGCAGGTGTGTTATTATTTTTGATGATAAGTTTAGCTGTTTTAAATTTTTTATAATAGATAATTAATTTAATTTTCTTGTTCTGTTCGACTGGGGTCGTGTATTTCTTTATAATATTTCTAAGAGAATATTTATCTTGCTTATAGTTAACATGTATTTGACTTTTATAAAAGATGTTATTGTTTTTATCTGTATGTTGCTAGTTACTTTAGAAAGAAATAGTCTAATCTGGTAGTCGATGAGGCAGTTAGGAAAACCATTGTTAACTTGCATCTGTTTCACATTATTAAGTTCTTTAAGGAAAAGGGGTTGAGAGGATGACTTCTCATGTGCTCTCGTGAGGAATTTTTTTTATAACTACTATTTTATATGTAAGTGGACATTCACTCTTAAAATTATGATTGCAAGAGTTGCTGCTTGTGGGTTTTCTGTATAATGAAATGGTAAATTTGTTATTATTGAATTCTATGAGGATGTCTAAGAATGGGAGTTTATTTTTTTGAGTAAGTTTATAGGTAAAGTTAAGGACAGAATTTTTTATGTGGCTTTGGGATTAACAATTTCTTGCTTGTTTTTTGCTAAAATAAAAATATTGTCTACATAGCAAATATTTTGGGTTTAGTAACTTTTTTAAATATTGTGTTTTCTACATGAGACATGTAGTAGTTGGAGAAGTGTGTTTGTTTGTGTGTCTGTGTGTGTGTAAGAGAGACAAAAATAGAGAAAGAGATAGATAGGAGTGAGAGATGCATAATGCATATTTATATATTATGAAGGTTTTTTTTTTATAATTTTCTTCATGTAGAATTTTATCCTATCAAAATTATCAATGACATTTAATTTGCCACTTGAGAATGGAAGTCATGGTTCTGTTAGAATGTCACAAAAGAGTAAAAAGAAAGTTTTGAAAAGCATAAAATTTTCAGGAGTAGGGTACAGTAGAGGTCATAGTAGAAATGGTAGGAGAGGGCCAAAAAATATTTGTTATGGAAAATTATATTAAAGATGAACTGATTTATATAAATATATTTATCATGGAAAATTATATTAAAGATGAACTGATTTATATAAAAATATTTATCATGGAAAATTATATTAAAGATGAACTGATTTATATAAAAATATTTATTATGGAAAATTATATTAAAGATAAACTGATTTATATAAAAATATTTATCATGGAAAATTATATTAAAGATGAACTGATTTATATAAAAATATTTGTTATGGAAAATTATATTAAAGATGAACTGATTTATATAAAAATATTTATTATGGAAAATTATATTAAAGATGAACTGATTTATATAAAAATATTTATTATGGAAAATTATATTAAAGATGAACTGATTTATATAAAAATATTTATTATGGAAAATTATATTAAAGATGAACTGATTTATATAAAAATATTTATTATGGAAAATTATATTAAAGATGAACTGATTTATATAAAAATATTTATTATGGAAAATTATATACTGATTTATATTTTTACAAATTTAGATTGGAAAATATTGATGATCTCCAAAATCAGATTTCTTCTATTCCTCGAATGCCAGTTCCCCCTGTACCGTATGCCACAACGAAGGATATTGAAAATGTAAGTACTGCAGTTTTTCTTTATTGTTTGTTGACATTGATTTTTTATGATTGAGAATACATCAACAATATTGATATGGTCAATATAGATTTAATGAAATCTGGCATTCAGGGAAAACTCATCAGATTTATCCAATCTTTACTGAGAAGCAATCCTTACAGATTCAGAAGTTCTACCAGGCTTCATTACTGGTAGTCACAATCATAACAACATTAGATATTCAGATGACACTGTATTTAATATCAGACACAGAAAGGAAACTACAAAAACTCCTACAGATGATAGGAAAGGAATGTGAGAAAAAAGGACTAAACATCAATTGTTAGAAAGTAGGATGTATAGTTGTTGGTAAAAGGAACAATGCCATATATGAATTGAAAATTGGGGATACCAAAATCAAGTAAGTATGAAAATTCAAATATCTCAGAAGTGTTTTAACAGATGATAGAAAATGCATCGCTAAAACAGAAAGGCACATTGGAATAACAAAAGATGCCTTCCAAAAGCTAAGCAAAATATTAAGAAACAGGAAAATTTAATTCTTTCTTTTTATATGCTGTGTCCTTTCAGGACATAGGCAATCATAGCTCTCCACTTCCTCCTATCCCTTGTAGCTCTCAATAAGTTTCATGCCTCTGCCAAATCCCCCAAACCACATTCTGTCATCCACTTGCTTAAGCCTGCCAGGTATGTCATGCATTGCTTTCCCTTTGTCTCTTTTTCCCTCTATTCAACCTGTGAGTATCAGATTCTCCAGGTCCTCCTTTCTCAGTATGTCCATATATTTATGTTAAGTATAAACTTTCTCCTTGTTTGCATCCTCTCCAAGACCTCATCATTGTTCACACACTCGCTCCATGATATCCTTAGCATCCTTCTGTAGAACTACATCTCCATTGCCTTGTGTCTCTTCTTCATCTTTGAGGAGATCCTCCAACATTCAGTGCCGTATATGAGGACAGATGTCATGTAGCAGCTCAGTACTCTTTTCTTTGTCACCAAAGAAATCTTCCTGTCTTGCAGTATTCTTCCCACCTTTTGGAATGCATCTTTGGCCATCCCAATTCATCTTCAGATCTCAACGTCACACTTACCGTCCTCTGTCAAAACAATTACCAGATATTTAAACTTCTGCACATGCTTGATTTTAGTGTTCCTGACCTGCAAATCGCATTTCGGACTCATCCTTTTACTGATGACCATGCATTCTGTCTTCTTGTAGTTTATGCTTAGTCCCTCCTTCTCGCTCTCCCTCACTACATTCTATAGGAGGTTTTATAATTTCTTTTCTATGTCTGCTATTAGTACTGTATCATCTGCGTATCTTATGTTCGTAAGATTGTGGCCGCCAATGCTGAATCCTGGTAGGATCTCACATTCTCTCAGAATTGCCCTGCTGTATAGGTTGAATAAGTCTGGTGAGAAGACACATCCTTGCCTTACGCCCCTTTCTATTTTTGTATATTTGTTGAACTCATTCTCAATGTGCATGCATGCCGTTTTCTGCGATTATAGGTTCTTGATTATTCTAATATCTTTCCCAAATATATCAAGGTTGCTGAGCAGTTCCAACTGATCCTTGCTGCATACCTTGGCAAATGCCTTTGTGTAGTCTATAAAACATAGATAAACATCCGTCTACATTTGTATTGCTCTTTCTGATAACATTCTAAGCATGAATATTGCATTCCTTGTTCCGGTGTCTTTAACAAACCCGCATTACTCTTGTCCTAGAAACACAGAAAAGAGTACTAAACCATTATGCAATATCAGTCCTTCTATATAGGAGTGAAGGCTGGAAATTCTCCTCATAGATAGAGGAGAAACTTGAAGCAACAGAATTTTTAGGAAAAATAGAAGCACAAAGGACAGTTAATCTTGGAATCAGAAAGAGAGAGAGTTTACATTTCTAGGGCACATAATAAGAAAAGCAGGTTTGGAAAATTTGACATTCACAAGATATATTGAAGGTAAGTGGGACAGAGGAAACCAATGAATAACCTCCCTTTAATTTAAATGGCTGGTGGAAGTGGGATTAGGATAGATAACAAAAAGTCAAACATTATTAAGAGGTACAAAGGATATGATGTTGTGGAGAGACATGATTGCTTGCTTCCTGTGGAGACATGGTGTGAAGAAGAAGAAGAAGAAGAGATTTAACATTGTAACATGAACTAGTACTTGGCTAGCTTTTAGATACTGCTTCTTGGTTGACTGCTGTGGCTTGATGCAGAAAAGTGGCATGATTTGTCCACATTGTTGAAAAACCATAGTTGATGAAAAACACTTTAAGAAATCATCCTGGTCTATTCATGTACTTCAACAGCAAGATGGGATGGCTACTAATAGATTTTGGAAATCAGGAAAGTGAAGAATAGGAACTCCTTCTTATAATGCTCATCAGGCTGGACTGGGTTAGGCTGGGAAAATGGTTCCTCTTTTATGGAGATTGAACACATTTTTCTTCCTAGCTTGATTAGAAAAAGTCATAAATCAGCTCCCAGCCCACATTCTTCCCAGACCAAAATATTTTAATTGAGACTAAAGATATTTTTCCACTTTCAGCTTGTCTTAAGGAGCATCAGCATACATTGTTACACTGACCAGAAATGAATTACCAAAATAGATGATGTGTCTTCCATCAGTCTTATCTACAAATATTTTCATGGTAACTGCTCTGATGAGCTTTCTTCCTGGTGCCCCATATGAATTTAAGCATGCTACTAGATTGGCAACTAGGTTCTACCCTTTTACTGTTGAATTAGTTAAATGTAACTGCCACTTTTACTCCAACAGTTTCTTTTCTCGCACTTCGCACCTGTTGAACTCTCTTCCATTTCCTTGCTTCTCTGATAACTACAATCTTTAAACATTTAAATGCAATGTCAATCACATCTTCTATCTTCTTGAATCCCATTCATCTTTTGTCTTTTCCTCAATCCTCCCTCAATCTTCTCTCTCATTTTCACTCCCTGTAACCCCTTGTGGCATTATCGCCTTGCTTAGGGTGAAATGATTTAAAAAAAAAATTTTTTTCCAAAATATTTAACTCCTTCTAAACATGTACAAATTAAATGTTTCGTTTTATGAAAGAAAGAAATCTTATGAAAGATAAAGAAATCATTGAACAACAAGGAAAGTGCTGAAAATTCTATTAAGACATCTATTTCTTTCAGTGCCAGAACAGCATCAAACGTCTTGCAGAATCTATCCAAACTGTCAAGACTGTTCTTGGAATGAAGATTCAATCAGAACAGAAATTGGTAAGTCATTTCTTAAAATCTGACTTTTCTTTCTTGCCAGACATTTTTTTCTTTACTCAAATTTTCTTTTTGCAATTTTCTCTTTTATTTTCTAAACGAATTTTCATTTGCATTTCAATGATTACATTTATTTTTTTTAGATATTTTTAAATATACTTTTTGTTTACTAAATCATTAAATTGTCCACTTTAGAAAAATGAGTCAAGAATTGTTTTTTGAGTTGCACTACTCACACATTTTTAATAAACATCAAAAGTCTTATACTATTTTTTTAGAACATTAAAAGTGAAATCAAAAAATAAAATGTTGGATAATAATCTAGATAATTCCTACCAAAATAAAAGACTGGAATTTTCTGATTGAAATCTTCTAAAAACAAAGCTGAAATCTTGATATTATTCCTTGAATGATATTTGTTTTGTCTATAACATTTCTACTGGTCTATTCTCCAGCCTTCCTCAAGTGTATGTGGTGTCCTGTGAACAGATTTAATAAACAGAATAAAATACTATTTCAAACTATTCACTGGATTCAACATACACCTCAGAAAAGGCAGAAGAATGACTTGCCTGAAATGTGTTTAAAGCAAAAACAAAAGGCCAACTTCTTAATCCACAAAATTATCCACAAATGATTTAAAAAAAATTTTTTTTTGAAGTGATAAAATTTAATTTCTGGAATTCAGTCTCTTATTTTTATTTTGTTAAGAGACAAAATCCAGTTTTAAAAACAGAAAATGTTAAAATCAGCAGTGAATATTGTTCCACTTTGAGATTCCATGTTTTTTATATAAGCGAGGAGGCAGCAACATTTTGGCAATGTTTTTAGGACTTGTGGACCAAGACAAACTTAAATGAAAACCATATAAAGTAAAATACTCAAGTTTGAATCAATCCTTTTAGAGCAGCATATTAAACACTACACATGAAGCATTATTAATAATCTCTTATTATAATTTTGCTTGTCCTACCCTTAGCACGACCTTTACGCCCAGCCAATACCTCATAAATATTGAAATATTCCATTTTGCCACCTTACTTCTTACAATAACGACCAACATTCATATCTATAATTGTTATTTTGTTAAAATTTCTGTCTATATTTCTGAGATGAGGCATTGTAACTATTTACACTATTTACATTGTTCGGACTGTTGTCCTCATCTCTATTGTCATATTTATGATGTTTTGGCTGCTGTATGCTCCAGCCTTCTTCAGATGATAAACACTGGAATTTTAAACAGCTTTGAGATGCTCCTTAAAAGATACGTTTTGCTGAAAATATATATTTATTTAAAGACTTGATTTTCATACATTCATTGCATACACTCTAGCTACATATTTCATTCACAAATTTTAATCCAACTTAGAACAATTAAATAGTCATGTGCATTAATAGCTTTCAATTTTGTTATAATTAATGATGCTACCAGCAGAACTTTTATTTTTATATATCTGCATTTTAAATAATCTATGCATTATGGTAAGAAAGAATTTTACTAAATGTCTGGTTGTATTTTTTATATTTTCTCTTATTCGATTTTCTTGTTTAGACATTATTTATATATAGAATATTATTAAGATTACATTTAAAGAAATGTCATTGATGAATTAATTCTGTTTCTTGATTTCTGTCATTTAAATAATGTTTTTAAGCTGAAATATTTGGGGTCAGAGCATAAATATCTTGATTCATGAAACATTGTATCTAATAATTTTTACATTGTTTTGATTCCTTTAAATGAACATAGAAGTACCTTATAACCTTTCTTAGCCCCCCTCCCCAAATACCTCTTGCGATTATTAGTTTCATTTCATTTACAGCAAAGATTAAGAACTATACACATGTTTATTAAATACTACCAGGTTTTAGTTAATTGATTATTGTCAGTTAATAGTAAATATAATAAATCAACTTTTATTATAGCAGATTAACATTGATAATGATTACATATAATATTTACATTAGGTAAAGAAAAAATACAATTTTTACAACAGGTTATATGAACTTTATTTTCAAAATACTATTCATGGTTAAATCTAAAGTTTAATTTTTTTTTCAGTGTTTTTAACAAACATCTTTCTTTCAGTTTGCACATTCAAAATCTTGTTAAATCAAATTAATTGGCGTTAATTTAACATAAAATTTCTGTACTGTATTTTACTTGTTCCCTAAATGATTAAATATTTAAAACACAGATCACCTTTCTTTTGCTGATTCATCTGTTATGAGTTTATCTTATTGCTAAACATGTCTTGAAAATGTGATAGAAATTTGGAGAATCACTTGGCTTTTTGAAATTTTATAACAATTCAATATAAATTATTATTTAAAAATATTTCATACTCATAAAACAATCAATTTTCCTTGAATACAAAATAATATTGTTTTTGTTTAACAGTTTATTTTTAAGGTTCCAAATAAAATTTTGTTGATCCAAGGAAAACTGTGTGGGTTGGAAAGTCCTCAATCTATCATTGCTTGTCATCAATTGGCATCTTTAAAGAATACAGAGTTATTTGCCTTGTGACTGTTTTTGTTTTGTTTTTACTCTGTTATTTTCCAGAGGTTGGATCAATTGAGGATGATGCAAGATGAGCATATTCGATTCCGTGGTTTGGTTGAAGCTCGCCTTTTCAGTCAACGTTAGACATAATTGGATTTTGGTGGTTTCAGGCACTTTGTAGCATTTCCTATGTCTTGTGTTTCAAATCTTATAAGCTTAATCAAAAGGAATCTTTTTTTCCCCTTTTTTTTTGTTCATCTTAAAGATAAAAGTTTACTGAAAAACATTTTTTTTTACAATTGCTCAAAATGTCTTCCCAGTTTTTCACTCATATGCACCATGTTTTTGTTTCTACTGCACATGTATACCTCAGGTTAAAAAAAGCAATCATTTTTATTTTGATTAATACTTTTCAATGATTTTCTTCATACTCTTCAAAGCCATCTTAAACATTTCTATTTGATTTATACAGCCTTAGAGATATGTTTCTGATATTGACAACTTATCACGCTGATGTATTTAAAAAATAATGCCTGCATTAACAACTAAAAATATTTTTCTTTAAGAAAGCAATAATACTTATATAAATGGTTGATTAGTAACTTGATAAGATTTTTAGAAAACATAAACAATGGTAGCTTATGTACAGATGAGAGCGATATAAGTATACAAAGAAATACAGGTAATAATAAATGCATTTCTAACATAGATGAAAAATTGAATATTCCTAGTTCCAGTAATTCTGAGACCAATGATTGCAAAATTTTAAATAATCCATAGAAATCATCTTTAGGAAGATGAGTAACTTTGAAAAAATATAATGAATTTTGTTTTTTACTGTTAAAAACAAAGCAACAGGACGCAGCACCATGCCACACAAGCAAGAGACCCCAGTCATAACTGTCAGACAATTTCTGCAACTATATCACCCTTTACACCTGGGCACCTAACTTCCCAGACTGCAACCCACTTGATTGTGGGGTGCAGTTGAACGAGAGACCAACAAAGGTCCTTGTAACACCAAAGGTAAATTGTAGGCAAGGATTATGCCAGCATTCACCAACATAAACAACTCTTCAGTTTCAGCAGAGACTATAGTAGTAATATGCAAAATTTAATAATTAAGATAACTAACATGTGAAGATTTAAGATGCATGTAAAAATACATGCAAAAAGAGAATCAATATATATATATATATATATATATATATATATATATATATATATATATATATAGGTGGTGTGATGGATAAATTGTCTAAATTATGGAAAAATGAAAATAACACTGACACCTTATTTTAACAGATATATTTACCAAAATTACACAAAAATATTGTGAAATACTAAAGAGTAAATCTAATTCAATAAAATCACCATTGGCTTCAACCACGGCCTCCAGACAACTTTGAAATCTCTAGTAACTCTTCTGGACGGTCTCCTTGCTTAAGTTGCAGAATGCTGCCATAATCCTTGCCTTCAGTTTTGCTTTGGTATTACAAGGAATTTTATTGGTATTTTGCTCAACTGTGCCCCCCCCCACGGAGGGTTGCAGTCTGGGGAGTTAGGTGGCCAGATGTAAGGCATGATATGGTTGCAGAAATTGTCTGCCAGCTATGACTGGGTTCTCTTGCTTGTGTGGCATGGTGCAGAATCTTTTTGCCAGACATAGGGTCTTCCAGCAGCCACCCTCTTGACCCAGGGCAGCACTACCTTCTCAAGGCCCTTGATGTAGACCTCCATGTTGAGTCTGAGGCCCTGTGGGAAGACGAATGGAGGCAGAATTTCACCATCACTAGTGATCATTCCAAACGCCATGATGATGAATGGATATATCATCCAACTCTTTCCAAATCCTCTGAACTGTCCTATATGGAAAAAGCCTTTTGTGACATGTTTCATCTGTTAGGACTTCATCAGACTGGGTTTGTTTACATTGTTGTGACTACATATACACATGGAGAAGAGATGCTTGGAGTTATAAATTTAGAAAGACTTTTTTTTTCTGCATACAATCTAACCAAATTCATATAGATACTTTTTCTTGTGTTTCCATCATGTTTGTTATTAAATATCCTAAAATTTATAAATTGTCAACATATATATATATATATATATATATATATATATATATATATAATATATATATATATAATCTAAAAAAATAAAATTCAAAATAAATTCATGAGGTATAAAGACAATTTTCGACCAATCACTGTTGGTTTGAGTAAATTTAAAAACATTTGAATTTGTATCTCCTGAAAACAAATATGAACCTGTGCAACTGTCAGTCAACTCAAAAAATTCCAGCTTTCTACATAAATCTAGACTAAGTGAGCTCTCTTGCTCTAAAGAGATCTGTGAAGTGGTTAGAGATCAAAAGACTCACTGACAACTGAAACTACATGCCAACTTCTCTACGTCAATACACTTATATTTCTTTTTCTCTTGTAAACTGTAAATAATAGCATTCATTGAAAGTTATGACCTTTTGCTA